CACTAAAAGCACTTTCAGAAGCAACACTAGAGATGGGTATGACAAAGATATCTCTGGCCATTGAAGCCACTTGTGGATACCTGTATTGATTACCCTTCCAATATGCTAATACATCTAATTTGAGCTTTGCATCAACCCTTGGCTCCTCTAGGTATAGCTCAAGTTGTGACTTTAGGGGCCCAGTAACAACATTAGAAGACATGAATTCCTAATAAAATTAAACAAAAAAACAAACACAAATTAAGCTAAGTTAAAGTAAAAAGAAAAAAGAAATAAAGCAACAAATAAAATAGAAGGTGATATAATAATACGTCAACTTACACTTAAGACATCATCATCATCAACCTCTGAGAATGAAGCTAAGCTAGGATCAGTGGTTGCACTTGCACCTCCTGTGTGTTGTGTTGAGGAAGATATTGAAGAAGGGTCAGGTCCATGCTTTGCATACTCATTAAACAACTTGAACAACTGGCTATTCACCTTTCCACTTTCTTGGATTGCAGAAGTTTCATCAAACAACTTTCCATAACAGAATTCAATAAAATTCATCTTATACTTAGGGTCCAAAACGCATGCTATGGCCAAGACCGTACTATATTGGGACCAATACTTGTTGAATTTATTGAACATCTTTGTATCCATCTCCCTAATATAATCATCAGCACTATGCAAAGCATTGTGTAATGTCATGTGTGCTTTAAATACCAAGGGAAAATACATATTAGCCGTTGCATACTTAGTGCCAGAGAATATACAAGTAATTTCGTAAAAAACCTGAAGAAACCTGTTAATCTTTTCAATCCTTTCCCATTCTTCTATAGATGGACAATGCTTATAGTTAGAATCAGTCAATCTAAGATGAACAAAAGCATGTCTATAATACAAAGCACTGTTAAGCATGATAAATGTTGAATTCCACCTAGTAGGAACATCTTGCCTCAAACCCTTCTTAGAAAAAATCGAACTTTGAGTGACACAGTCAAAAAATTTTTCTTTCCTACCTTGTGAACCCCTCACATATTTAATACTTTTCCTCACTTTTATAATTGAAGTGTCAACCTCTTTCAAACCATCCTGAACAATCAAATTTAGAACATGAGCACAACAACGCAAATGGAAAAATTTCCCAGCACACAAAAGTCCATCATTAAGCATTAATTGACCACTCAAGAACTCAACACATGAATCATTTGCAGATGCATTGTGCAACATTGCAAATATCTTCTTTTCTAAGCCCCATTCTATCAAAAAAGTGTGTATTTTTTCAGCCAAGGAAATTCCATTATGAGGAGGAGGCATATGACTAAAATTCAAAACTCTTTTGTGGATCCCCCAACTACGATCCACAAAATGTGCTGTCAAACAAATAAAACCATCCGTGTTTATAGAAGTCCACAAGTCAGTAGTTAAACTTACCCTACTTGAGTTTCCTCTCAACAAAGCATGCAATCCCCTCAGAGGAGCAAAGTGACAGCATAGGTAGAGAGTGGAGAAGATCCTCCCCCTCCATGTGTGAGGGGGTTATTTAGATAGGAGAGACCTCTCCAGCATAGGTAGAGAGTGGAGAAGATCCTCCCCCTCCATGAGTTTCATTGACATGTGAAATTTAAGCAAAAAAGGCAGCTACCGATTTAGACAACCCATGCATCTATGTTGAAAAAGGAAGCATGAAAAAAAAAACAAGAGGCACAGAGAGAGGAACCTACCCGGATTAAGCAGAAACCAAACTGATGATTGAGAGCTAGCAGATATCTATGTCTAAAATTAGGTTCTGCAAAAAAAAAAAAAAAAAGTTTCAAAACAATGAACATAGAAAACTATGAATACATAAAGGGTATATTGATTCTAGGAGATAAATTTAAACATTTAAATAGTCTTCTGGTTAATATAATGATAATTTTGTGAAGAAACAAGTAGAAGATTCTTTGATATCTATGATTTGTTTTGAATAAATAAATAAACGGTCCATTGTTCTTTGATATCTTTGATATCTTTCTTTACAATTAAGTATAACAAAATAGAAATTTCAGATTGTAGGCAGTGCAGCTCATTTCAGACAACAACTTAAATAAAAAATCAGCCATATACGGAATTGTAATGTAAAACTACCAGTGCCGGCACACACACTTAGAGATAAAAATATTTGAATACAATGAACTAGTGGCAGGGCAATGGAGCTAGCTAAAGAGTGACCTTTTCAGAGCTGGAATTAAGGAACGCAGATGAAGAACTTCTAACAATATGAAGAAACTTGGGACAATCTAAAGTCCCCTTTATTCTGTACCTTTGTGTATGCTACGGTTAAGTGTTTGACTGTAATGAAAAAATTTGTATACCATGTCAAATTGCAGAAAGTTTGTAGGTTTCTGAGTATGTGAAGGCATAATAAGGAAAAATTGCATTATTGTTGTAAGCTACACTTATTAGAGAAGGGACAAATAAGTGCTTGCGTATAAAAAGTAAGATCTACAGATAGGAGACACATTTCGTAGGCCTATTGGTGATGGGGATAAAGTTTTGATAATGCTTATCAATGACAGGTTTTATAGTTGATGCTTTTGGACAAGTTTTTCGCAATTAACAAAGTTTACCTGACAAATATGTATTTAAGGAAAACACTCTCATTGCTAAGTTTAAGGCTAGAAGCAAATACACAATTTAGTCAAGGCACTCAATGCTAAAGCCTAGAGATAATCATAAAAAAAAAAAAAAAGTTAGCATGTATTAAGGTAATTTGATTTCTTTACGCATACAAATACACAATGATACGATGACACAAAAAATTCATATAAACTAATATAAGCTCTCTATAAGCATGCTTTTCAACAGAAACCATCATACACAGGAAGCATAAACACAACAGATGCTATCGTAGAAATTAACCAGTGGAGTGAGTATCTAATTAAATGAAAATTTAAATTTAAATATTCATAAATAAAATAGAAAAACTAGCGTAGGGTTGGATTAGGTACAAACCTCAGCTTCCGGGGCAGTGAAATGGTCTTCCCTGCCATCTCCGTTTACCTATTCAACCAAACTAACTGATCACCCACAAATCAAAAACAAATCTTCCAAGTTGGAATATTAATCAATAAAATGTTACAAAACAAGAGAAAAGGAAAACTAATTTGAGTTCAAAGAAAATAATAAGTTACAGAAAAAGAGAAAAGGAACACTCAGAGATGAAAGAAGAAGGACTTACGAGTAGAAGATTCTGATCCAGAACATTAGAGAACTTGAGAGAGGGCGAGATAGGAGGACTGGAGCTGAACAGCGACGCTGTGAGGGGGAGAGAGATAGAGGAACGGAGAGAAGAACAGAGAGAGGAACAGAGACTCAGAGAGAGGAACGACGATGCTGTGAAGGGGAGAGAAAGAGAGGAACAGCGGCGAAGGTGTGAGGGGGAGAGAAAGAGAAGAACCGCTGCGGCTGATAATTTCTGATTTAGGAATGGGATGATGAGTCGATGGATGAGTAGACCTAATCCTAAAACCTAGGTAAATGTACTAAATCACCCTTATGCGGGTTGACCCGTGAACCCGCGGGTTGACCCGTGAACCCGCGGGTCAACACGTGACCCGACACGAAACCAAACGTGTCATTTTTTAAGACCCGGACACGGCCCGTCCTAACCCGCGGGTTGACACGACCCGTGATTTGGCGGGTCGGGTCACGGGTTAACCCGCGGGTCAATACCTGTATTGCCACCCCTAGTGTGAACTATACCGAAAATAGTTGCACAACGTGCACTTAAATTTGTTATGCACTGTTTGTGTGCGAATAAATCTTTGGTGCTACTGTTGCACTAAGATTCAGTGCATCTCACCAATGAGAGCATTACACATCATAGGAGAGAGAAAAAAGTTGTCAAAGAAAATAAAACTTTAACTAACATGTAATATTTTTATTGGTGGGATATACTGAATCTCTGGTGCTACAGTAGCACCAAAGATTTGTTCGTTTTGTGCCCAAAAAGATTATTATAGTAAAGGAATAAGATTTGTCCGTTTTTTTTTGACTTGGTTTAACCAGTAATAAAAGTTTTAGAATTTTGTGTTATACCTCGCATTATTTTTTATTCACTACTCATAATATTTGAATAATCAAACAAAGAATAATTTAATTTTTTAAAAAGTTCTTCATAAATTACATATATTTATATTTGTTTATATATACTCTAATTTTACCTCTTCATATAAATAAAGGAAAGGAGTAATCATTTTTATTTTATTAAAAAATATCAAATACTCCTCCAATATTATTTATTTATTTATTTTATCCCACCCAGCCACCAGTCACCCCCTCTCCTCATAGAAGCAACATAAAGCAGAAGATATGAAAGGAATGAAAAGCAAGGGCGTTGAAATTTCAAATTTGCGAGTAGAGTGGTAAAGCCCATCGAAACACTTGATTTTAATTATTTTTAAATAAGAAAAATGATAATTATTCAAAGGGGGATTTTACGGAAATATTTATTATGTTTCAGGACCACATCATGATTTGGTGCTTCCTCTCACAACATTAATTTTTTTTTTGCCTTTTTACCCTTGTTATTTTTTTCCTTTTTTATTTTATCCTCTTATTTACTCTAAAAGATTATCTAAAAAATGGTGTTCCAGGTCCACCGTAAATTCTCTCCGATTTTACTGTGCAACAATCTTTTGGAGGTGGTCTACTGGTCTCGTGGATTTTTACAGGCTATTGCAAGTTATTAATATATATATTTCCCCCCCCCCCCCCCCCCCTTTTTTTTACATGTTCGTGTTAACAGCTTCTGAATTTGCAAAATGGTCCTAGGTTACAGGCAATGAATCTCAACCGTTAATTTCAATTGGAATCAAATGGCTGAGACTAAGGGGTACACAAGAACCCCCGAACTCCCCTCATTTTATTCTGCTTTGTGTACGTTAATTTCAATTTAAACACTGAACAGTACCTTCGTTTTTCCGCCCTTTCGTATTATTCGTCGGACGGAGAGAAAAGAACGAACGGCGACGACGATGGACATCAACTTCAGTCCACCGCCTTGCCCTAACACCGTGACCGTTCGTCGGAACCCTCACCGGAAAGCCCGCACCGCTTCCAAAACGACCCCACAAAGCTTCGATTTGGGTGAAATCCCGCCATTTCCACATGACGACATATTGCGCGCACAACCACCAGAAATTCCGTTAACGTCTCTCCTAAAACCGGAGAACGAGAATACAAAAGTTTTTCTCAGAATCCGTCCCCTCTCGTCGCCCAATCAGGCTCCACGGGCGAGAGCTAAGAGTGTGTGGCCTCAGAACCCCGCAAAAAAGAACATAGCCGCAGGGGATAAAATTTCGAAGAAAAAGAGCTCGAGTGTGTGCATATTGGTTAATGATTCGCAGTCAGTGACGTTATCAACCCCTTTAAGTTTGCAAGAATCAAAGCGAATCAAATCAGAGACTTACGGAGGTTTCTCTCATGTTTTCCCTTCCGATTCATCTCAGGTAATGATAATGACATATCTTACTTTTTCCTTATTGGCGGTTTTCCTCTCTAACAATGTGATCGAAATTTTAGTTTGAAGTGTATGATAGAATGGTGAAACCTATGGTGGAGGAGTTTCTTAAGGGTAGAAGTGGAATGTTGGCTGCACTGGGACCTAGTGGGTCCGGTAAGACTCATACCGTGTTTGGATGCCCAAGGGATCCTGGAATGGTACCTCTTGCCATCCGCCATATTTTTAAGGAGACCGAGTCAGATGGTAAACAGGCATCCAGGTATTCTTGTGCATTCCAAATCATTTGTAGATAGATAAATATATAAGCTTAAGCTGCATAAGTGTTAAGTGTTAGGTTAGTACATAGTATGCACTGTGTTTAGTTATGTTATGTTAACCAAACACAACATTTTGAGCGTTAGAAAACAAAATATTAGTTCAATTATTCTCAGTGTCAACACAAACATGACAGCACAGTGACAAGCTTTGGAAAATCATTTGCAATTGTTGCTTGAACATTTATGTTGATTATGTAAAGAACCAATTCAACCCAAAAGCTTAAACTATTGGGTGAGAGCCTTTTTAGTACCTTATATTATTCTCTAACATTTTAGTTGAATGAAATGTGAATTTTGCCTCGTGATGCAACTTGCAGATCCTTTTACATATCGATATTTGAGATATATTCTGAACGGGGTAAAACAGAGAAAGTGTTTGATTTATTACCAGATGGCAGTGAACTAAGCATGCAACAATCAACCATAAAAGGCCTGAAAGAGGTTTATAGCTACATCTGTTCGATGTGACATCGTTGTATTTCCCAGATGTGTATGATATGGTTGGTGATAATGTTTTTTATATTTCTTGCATTTGTTGAACAGGTTCACATCCCTAATGCTGAACAGGCAGAATCCTTGATAGCTCAAGCAGTGGTAAAACGTGCAACTGCAATGACAAACACCAACAGTCAGTCTAGGTAGGATGTAAAATGGGAATTTAGGACTGTTTCTCCCTTCCCTCAAAAGAAAATGCCTTTAGCGTTGCCTTGGTGTTTCTCCCAGTGGAAAGCGTAAAATACTTGGATAATTGGGAGAGGTTGTTTTTACTATGCAATGGGTTCTTTTGTTTGAGGACATCTCTAGTAATGAGCTGAGTAGGAGGCACGCGCCATGATGGAAATATCTCTGACAGTTTTTAACAGATGCTTTAGAATGTAATCCGTTGTCATGTTATAGCATGATATATGGTAGTTGGTTTGCTAATAATAGAAGTCTGGTTTCATTCAAAAATAGAAAGAAAAGAAAAGGGAGAAAAGAAGAAAAAAATTGAACATGAACGGCAGCTCAGGGTTTATTTTGAACAAATCTACAAGAAGTAGTCGGTAGTCCAGTTAAACTTTTGTAGGAGAAATTACACCTTTTCCTATAGCAATCGTGACTTGTTAGTAGCTTTCTCTAAGAATATACGGCCAAACGTTTTATGATTACTAAGTTTTGATTTCTTCTTTGTACTTGTAGCCGGTCACAGTGCATCATTAACATCCGTGATGTTCCCCAAAAATGTGAAGGAGTGGTCAATCGTAAGTCAAATGGTGCTGTTTTGACTATCATTGACCTTGCTGGAGCTGAAAGAGAAAAAAGAACAGGAAATCAGGTTCATTCTTTTTTTCCGCAATACTCTTATTAACAAATAGGGTTGATTTTGTTGCTGTTCTGAACTTTAGGATATTATCAAAATGTTCTCTCTTAAATGTCATGTCATAATCATTTACCTTCTTCGCTGTCTTTTGTACAAAAGAGATATTAATCTCTTTTAGCTAAAAAAAACTTAGTACTTAAAATCAGTAAATTTTCTTGATATTTATCTTTTATACTACAAAGGTTTCATGAAGTGTATGTAATATAAACCTTTACAAATTAAAAGAGGGAAATTCTTTGGTGTCTGGATAAAATTTAACATCGAATTGCAAAGTAAATTTTCTTAATTGTAGGAGAATTGTGTACAAAATTCTGAACCTGGATGTCATTATTTCTCGAATCTCAGATGCAAAATTGACTACTTTGTAATGGGGCTGACTGATCCATGCAGTGGACCCACCAAGAGGGATATGGCTTGGTTGTTATTGTAAATATTTTGTTTTTATCTTCATCCCAACTTTTCTTTTGCGCTGTTGCAGGGGACAAGATTGCTTGAAAGCAATTTTATCAACAACACATTAATGGTGTTTGGCTTATGCTTAAGAGTATGTCGCCTATTCTTGAAATTATGAACCCAAGTCATTGCGCTTCTGGTAGCCTGTACTTTTTTTAGTTTTTATACTGCTACCATCACTTGGGAATTTTTTAATATCTTTTTCTCTTTTGCCTTTACCTTCCCTCTTATTTTGTGTATGGTTTTGTTTATTTAATGTTTATTGATACTTTCAGTCATTACTGGAGCACCAAAAAAATCCCAAGAAGCCGTTACAGAAGCATTTCCAAAACTCTATGGTAATATTTTTATTAATTTAATATTTTATTGGTTTTTGATGGATTCTAGTTCTCCTCTTCGCTACTCTCACTTTCTTGATGGCTAATGTCATATCAATAAATGGATGCTATTATGCTAACATGGTTAATTGCTATATCAGCTTAGAAATTTCTTTTAGACAACAAATTTGAAATGGGAAAGCGTTACAAATTTCACTTTGTCTACCATTACTGCAGTTAACTAGGTACCTGCGAGATTATTTGGAGGGCAAGAAGCGCATGACCTTGGTATGTAGATATTACTTTCAAACTTCATTTTCTCCAAGCTGATTAAAGTCATACTATGAGTTTATCAACAAAAAAAAAAGTCATACTATATGCTTTATGGGGGTTTTCTTTTATGAGATTCATATGCCTTTCCGATAAAAATCTTGAGTTTAATTTATTTTCGTATATATTAATCTTGGCAATTACTTATGTTAACTTCTTGTTGTTGTTGTTGCTGTGGCTGTTTTCTTAGATTTTAACTGCAAAGTCAGGAGACGAAGATTATCTTGACACTTCTACCCTACTCAGACAAGCTTCTCCTTACATGCAAATCAAGTAAAATTCTTCATTTCCATCGCATAATCTCACTTGAATATCTTATTTACCCCAGACTGGTTTCTATATATCTCTGTTTTTGTTAGGTATAATGAAGTTGAACCATCAAATATGATTTCCAAAAAAAGGCATCACCAAGCTTCGTCCATAATGGATTATGCAAAACCATCACCATTCTCAGAACATTTAAAGAGAGCGAGACTTGTCAGAGAACATACTGCACAGGTTCTCTTTCACTTCCTAGTTTTTCTCCTTGCTTAAAAAAATTAAAAGAGATTGTTTTGATAGTCATAAGATTGCATTTGAATATATTGTACACATTATCTACTGCAAGTCTGCAAATATGCCAAAGCATAAATATATGACTCGGTGTATGAATAGATAGCATCAACATTCTTTTATATAGAAGATGGCATTAACATTAACATCTTAGCTTTTGACTTCTCTTAGCATAGGTTATTTTTCTATTTGCAACAGGTGGTAAGGTTTTATAAACTCACGGTAGTAAAAATACAATTCACAACTATGTAATACCAAACAGATAACAAGGACATTGTTACCTGGAAATTAAGAATGCCAGTGTAGTGGAAATAAGAAAGGTAATCAGCTGTTCATTTTGGAAGTGAGAGAAGAGAAGATGAGAATGTTCGGATTTGGGAATATAAGGTGGAGGCCGTTGCTGAAAAGTGAGAAATATATTTCTTGGTTTTAAAAAAAATAAACTACCATTATGTATTTAGAGTCTTAATTTGATTATATAAAAGTGAGAACACAATAATCTTTGCGTTCACCATACTCTCATGTTTGTCTGAAATTAAATTAGAATTAGTTCATAACATGGTGTCTCCATGACTAATTATGATTAACTTTTTTGGAGATTTCTCCATTGGTTCATCAATTAATCGACTAGATCTTGACTGTTGTTAATATTCAATATTTGTAACCTTGTATGCTTTGTGCATGCTTTACTTTTGCAAATTTCAAATTTAAAATGTTCATCATCTTCATATTTTTTTTGGATGAAAATTATTTTGCTTATGCCATTTGTGGAACCATTTTAATTTTAGATTTAAGGAATTGAATAAATTTTTTCTTCTTTCGAGTATACTTGTTAATCCATTATATATATAATTTTTTGTTTGTCTTCAGAATGATGAAAAGTGTGTTGAAGAATGGAACACTTCTAAGGAAGGTAGTGCAAGACATTTAAAAGATGTGTTGAATTTATCTATTCTGTTTTTTCTTTCATTATTTTTTGTTTCAACTGGATGCTATGCTACACCACAAGGGGTAGCCTATCCTCTTCCCATAAATCCCAATTACACATTCGACCTTCAAGATGGAGTACCCAATGTTCAATATTGAGGTGTCCCATTGTGGATTAATTTTTGTATTCTAATACTGGGCAATTCTTATATTATTCTTTAAAAATTCTCAGACCCTTGGACTAGTACCTATCTTCCTGACTCTGATTTTGTGACAGATGCTTCAACAGTCGGCAAATTGGATGCAAGTAGTTATGTCTCTTTCAAGTCAGAGTGTGATAGCCAGGCCCAGAGTGAGAGAAGCCATATTATTATGCGGAATTTCGCCAAAGTTTTATGGAATGTTTTGAAGCAATATAATTCCAAATTGAAGGTAATAAGAAAAGTATGTTTTTTGAAATTAACCAAAGAAAGTATTTTTATGAAATTAACCATTAGTTTTAAGTAGTTAATTGTCTCATTCATTAAGGGTGCTCTGACAGTGGTGTCTGTAGATATTCCAACTATCTGCACATAATAAATTACTTTATACATAATCAGGTTGCAGAAACAGAAATACAAAGTCTTAAAGAAAGCATTGGGTATGAAAAGAAAAAGTATCTGGAGCTGGAAACACAGTTCAATGAGTTTAAGGCCTGCTGTACTTGTTGCAAAGGACTAAAAGTAAAAACTGATCCTGAAGATTGTTCATCAGTGGGCCCTGTTCAACAACATAATTGGGAGCAAGAGGTTGTCTACTGCATTCCTAGATTCCTGGTTTTTCGTTTGAAGCTTATTGAGGTTTTGGCTGATGCAACTTCAATGCTCATTCACCTTTAGGATTATTGTATTCCTAGTTCCTGCTTTCTTGTTTGAAGATTATTGAGGTTTTGGCTGATGCTACTTAAATGCTCATTCACCTTTAATGTAGTCATCATGAACTGACTTTCTATATGAGATGCAAGGTCACTGTATTTAATATCCACTGACTATTACGAAAATTAAGGCAGTCAGCTGTAGCAATTAGTTGTTTATTGACTTTCCTACATGCGGTAAATCTTTGTTATTATGCCTTGCTAACTACGGTCAGGTTAGTGCATGTGTCAATGTGTTTGAACTTGTAGGTTCATTCAAGGAGAGATCAAGTTTGAGCCTTAATTTTGTTCAGATCTTCTAGTTCAACAATAAACCAAGCTTGAGAATGAGTGTGCTTATAGTTGAGGAAGTTAGGTTGACATGAAATTAATTCAACTAGTGGCGAGCTAAGTTAGCTTGTACCTTGTAATTGGCAAACGCGATTCCCTAACTCCTACTTTCCTTTGTTGTATAGTTGTTGCTGGGTTTCATGTTTAATATCTTGTTTGTAGATAAATTTTAGGCTTCAATAGATTAAAATAAAACAATTACACTTCTAGAGGCATCCCATCTAATGTATGAACTGATGTAACTGTTTGTGTTTGTATCTCATAAGATAAGGTTGACCCTAGTTTTTTCTTCAAAATATTTGTGAGCTTCAGATTGGAATATTATTATGAATGTCATTTGGTTATCCATTCTTCCCAGGAAACATTTTGTGCAGAGTCATCATTGCCCAGACTTGACCAGCCAGATAAAGAGCCTGTGCTTTGCACTTCCTGTGCGTCGTTAGATTCTGAAAAATCAGATAGGTTAGCCTTGTGATTAATGATCTTTCGCATGTGGTTCCTGCTTGTCTTTCTTAGCTTTGAACTAATATGCTTGTTCCTTAATTCCTCCTCGGTGTAATAATATAGGGAAGTTTCAATATCCTTGGCAAAATCAGGGCATCATAATGTTTTAGAGGTTGATGCTGTGAGCAAGATACCGAGTGTGAGTTGACCTTCCTTTTGTTAATATGTAATCAGTCTATTTACTTGAACTTTTCTTTTTGGTACATTCAAGGAGATATTGAGCCTTAGTTGAATCCAGATCTTGCTTGTTCAATAATGAACTGAGCTTGAGAATGAGCGTGTCAGGTTCACATGAAATTAATTTAACTAGTTGCAAGCTAAGTTAGCTTGACCCTATTGATTGACTAACCTGTTTCCTTAACCTCCTACTTTCCTCTGACATATAGTTATTGCTGGTTTTCGGGTCTAAATTCTTGACAGCAGGTAAATTTAGGCTTCTATAGATTAAGTTATACTACTAGAGGCATCCCATCTAATGTGTGAACTGACATAACTGAGTTTTGTGTGTGCACTTCCTAAGAAAGGTTCACCCACTAGTTATTTCTCCGAAGTATATAAGAGCTTCAGATTGCAATATTGTTATGTATGTTATTTGTTTATCCATTCTTTCCAGGAAACAATTCATCCAATGTCATCGTCTGAGCCTAGACTTGACCAGACAGATGAAGAGCCTATGCTTGTTTCTTCCTGCACACAGTTATATTCTGAAAAATCAGATAGGTCAATCTTATGACTAATGATCTTCCGCGTATGGTTCGTACTTGTTTTTCTTGGCTTTGAACTAATACGGTTGTTCCATAATTGTTGCTTGGTGTAATAATACAGGGAAGTTTCTGCCTCCTTAGCAAAATCAGGGCATCATAATGTTTTGGAGGTTGATGCTGTGAGCAAGATACCAAGGGTGAGTTGACTTTCCTTATATTAAAGTGTACATTAGTCAATTTGCTTGAGCTTTACTACTTGGTACTTCAAGAAGAGATTGAACCTTAGTTGACTTCAGATCTTAGTAGCTCAATAATGAACTCAGCTTGAGGACGAGGCAATGAGCGCGTGCATTTAGTTGAGCATGTTAGGTTGACATGAAATTAATTCAACTAGTGGCGAACTAAGTTAGCTTGAACCTATTGATGATCCTGTTTCTTAACCGACATATTGTTATTGCTGGTTTCCGGGTGTTAGCAGTTAAATTTAGGCTTCAATAGATTAAAACAAACTAGACACATGACTGTGCTTTATGTTTCTGTTTTCATAAAAAAGGTTCACCCACTAGTTCTTTCTCCGAAGTATATAAGAGCTTCAGATTGCAGCACTGTGATGTATTTTATTTGGTTATCCATTGCTTCCAGGAAACATTTCACGCACTGTCATCATCTGAGCCTAGACTTGATCAGTCAGATGAAGAGCTTATGCTTGCTACTTCCTGTTTACTGCTAGATTCTGAAAAGTCAGATAGGTTAGTTTTGTGACTCATGATCTTCCGTGTGTGATTCCTGCTTGAAGTAATATCCTTGTTCCTTAATTCCTGCTCGGTGTAATAATATAGGGAAGTTTCATCCTTCTCGGCAAAATCAGGGCGTCATAATGCTTTGGAGGTTGAAGCTGTGAGCAAGATACCAAGTGTGAGTTACATGCTGTTTGTTGCTTCTTTTGAATTGATATTCTCAAGGTATTTTGGGATAGTTTAAAATTAAAAGATAGTGCATTATGTAATGCAAATGACCGTCCAAAAATCTTTAGGGTTGGAGCCTATCTTTGCCTTTGTTTACATTCAACTTTTATTAAGAAGAATGGGGTGAATAAGGATTGAACACCTAATCAGTTGGTCATAAATTTACCATGTTAAAAGCCTCCCACCTTTTCAATTAGTTGGTCATAAATTTTCCAGTTGACAGTTGGTCATAAATTTACCATGTTAAAAGCCTCCCACCTTTTCAATTAGTTGGTCATAAATTTTCCAGTTGACAACCACATGCGTTCTAAAAGCTTAAATTGTTCATTAAGGTTTTCTCATAAGGTGATATTTTATCTGGAATCTCTCTATGGTGATAAGGGAGTGAAAAAGGAAAAAATCGTAAATATTGATGTTGCAACTGTTCATCCAATTATGGTTTTAAACTTGACTTATTGAGCAAAAGTCAAGAAAAATCAAAAGACACTGCAGAGTCGGCCTGGGCTAATGAAAAAGACTCGATGTTTTTTAATTGTGAAACATGATCAGTTATTCGTAAGGGATTTTTACACTGATTGATTCAACTAATAGATATTGTGAAATTTTAAGGAGAGAAGATGCGTACCCAGGGGGGGAAGTTGTGTTGTAGTCTTCAAGGTGGGGTAGGTCGAATTCCGCCACACCTCTTTCCCAATTCCCTATATAGGTTTCAATAGAGTCTTCTGCCATGTAACTAAAAATTGATTAAAATAGTCATCATAGGATTGCACAAATGGTTTTCTACCTGTCTGCGCAGTGCTCCATAAAATAATCAATTTTCATATTAACTTGCCATAAAAAGCTTACAGGAAATCTGTTTCTGCTTTCCTCTTTCTCTTGATTAATCCACTTTTCAGGAATTGTTGGTTTCTTTGTCATTAACAAAAGATGACCTTTTGGATCCTTCGTCCAGCGAAGATGTTTCATCTACTAAAACACATGACCTTGTGGGTGATCCACGGGGTGAGATAGGAGGCAATAACTTCTGCAAACCTCCCAGGCCAAAAAGGTCCGTGGCACATTTATGGTAGAAGAGTAACGAAGTGGTGTTTAACTTTGTCCGTATATAGTTTTTCCTTCAAAATTTATTGGTTACAATTTTTCTGTGCTGATGAAATCAGGACACTTATGCCTTCATCATCCATTTTATCAAGGGATTTGAGTACCTTTGATCTTTTTGACGAGACCGAGAAATCAAAGGTACTGTATAATATTTAGATTTGGATCTATGCACTTTCGTATTAAACTTTACTGCTCAAATCACAAATCTTTATACACTTCATTAACCATGTACTCTCGCTTGTTTTGTTATAACACTATTATGTTAAATCTCAGGTTTAGTGAATTAGAAATAAACACATATGATTTAAGTATTAACATTTATCTGGTTTGCAGCAGGGGAATAGGAGCACAAGGAAGTTAGCTGCACACGATCCTAAAAGATCAAATGGAAGCATCTCTCTGCTCCGCTTGCTGCAAGGGAAAAAAAGCAATCTTCATGTCTAGCGTAAACACTGAACCCTTTTGTTTTTTTAAATGTGCTTGGGGGCTGGGGCAAGGGACTGAAATCTGGTCCCGCTTACTATTTTGGAATGTATCTTCTGCCTTACAGTTAGCAGATTTCGTTAATTACTATTAACAAGTTGTTTGTGAGTAGTTGTTATTTTTCTGTTGCACAGTAGAAACTGTATAATCTGTGTATATGTATATCTTCTTGTAGGAGTGTTGCAGACACTTGATTTCCATGTCCTGCATCTTTTTTTTTTTTTACCCTATCATTTTTCTATCTATTGGAATGTCACCACTTCTCCTGCAATAGGAGAAGTGTAAAGCCCATATACCTCCAACTAGATACGGGAAATCTCATACTTTCCCGTTCATATCAGTTGCAAGTTGAAATATAGTATCGGTGATTGCTCATGCTTCTGCCTTTACTCTCGTTCGCTTCTTGAAGTTTATCTTTTTCCTCCCCTTTTTTCTCTTGGTTTTGAGTTTTTTTTTTATTAATTATATGCATTTTAATTTCATGATATAGTCATCGTATGTATAATAACCAATTCATTCCCCCCCTCCTCCCTTATTTTTAATAAACTCCATGCTAAAACCTTATAAATAGCACCCATAGCAAGATGACGTGAAATTCTGAAAGAGTTGATGGTTCGTGAAAAACTAAAAATTGGTGTTGTTTAAGTCCGGATTAGACTAGTAGTGAATTGAACTAGTAAACCTGCAAATTAGTTAGGTAACCAATTCGCTGTTGTACAGGGGTGAAAGTGAGTTGGGCTGAGCCGAGCTTTGCTCCGAAAAGCCTAAGCCTACGTCAAAAAATTTCAATTTGGCCCTGCTCAAGCCTAGTATGAGTCTAACTGTTAACCTGGTTTGGTCCGTTTATGAAAAAAACAAATGGCCTGGCTTAGCCTGTTAGCCCGTTAATTTTTAACTTCCAAGCAGAACCATGAATCAACTTTACAAAGTACTCAAATTCTGTTGCTACACCAAAAATCATAGTTTCAATGTCCAAACAGAATCATGAATCATAACAAAACTAATACAATATTCATTTAAGTCATTTTCAAAAGCAAAATGCTCAAATTAAATAACATATATTTCATCAGATCCAACAAACAAATCCATACTATGTAAATTAAAAGAACTACATGAATCCAACAAATACATCATGATGCTTGTAGTAAGTATAACCTCTGCCAAAGATCTTTTAATATATTCATATACACAATCTAACATGTTGAGATGTTGGTTCCTCTTATATAAAAAATAAAATAAGATTTTTATCAAAATATAATCGAATATGATTAAGTTATAAATAATTGCAATTGATTAAATTTATATCTTTTTTTTTTTTTCAAGGCATACTTACTTTATTTTATTTAAAATAAATTGTACAATATAGGCCGGCCTGTAGGCTTATAGGCCCAACCCTTTGAAAATGAGCCTAGGCTTTTTTAAGGCCCGAGCCCGGTTTATTATACAAAATATACTAGGTCAGGTCTAGCCTGATGTAGGTCGAGCCGTAGGCCGCTGAAGACCAGCCCGATCCAGTTTCACCTGTTGTACAATAGATTGGTTAGTACAATAACTAGTGTGATCTGATTTGATTCGGTCTAGTTTGATGTTAGTGATTCGTTGGGTTCACAGAAAACCATACGAGTCGTGCAAATTTGTTTTAAGGAAAATATCTTAAAACTTAGTCGTTTTGATGGGAAAAAAACAGGTTAAGAAAAAGATGCGGGGATACAGGATGGGATTTTGTCTTTTGGAAACGTCAGTCTAAAGCTAAAACAAAATAAAGGTAAACTGGGTGTATTATATAAAATTTGGTGATTTTTGTGAAATCCTTGTGTAATATATCAGTACTCATTGATTATTATGCGTTTTTTTCGCTGATGAGTATCATTGCCAAAAATTGAAGAGATAGATATGTCCTAATATCACACTCTTTAGGATAATAGACGGAAGATATCATGTCCTGAGTATAATTTAACTTGTTTTATCGAGTAATGATATATTTGAAGCCTACATATATTTGCAAAAAAAAATTATAAACATGTAATTTTTAATGTACCATTGATTTTAATTTCAGATATAAATGATACGTGGATTCTAATTATGTTAATTTAACTAATTAGTTTAAATTGAATATTAAGAAGAGATTAGTTCTAATAATGCATAAATGAGGTTAATTAACCAAATTACCTTTCTTTTTAAATTTTTTGACCAGTCTACCCCATTTCATAAATTGTATATCAATTTACTTCTATTTGATCAAAGTTGACTAGGTGAGCCTTACCTTAAAATCAAACTTTACGCATGGTGTGACTCTATTTGCTACCCAACATTTATTCGGTTAGATGGTATTAAATTAACCAAATTAATATTAAATTGGAATTTGCTATCAAATTGGAAATTATTATCAAATCAAATAATATTTAAAATCATAATGCAATCTTTTCAAATCCTGAAAATTCATAAACCTCAAATTTGTTATTAATAATTTAATAATGACATTTTTACTATTTTTTCCTTTTTAGTTAAAAAATTTAACCTCAAATCTTTTTTCCTATGCAAATAAAGAAACAAAAAAAAAAATCAATAATCATTTATTATTTTTTGAATTTGTTGGGTTTAAAATATGATTCGCATTTATACAATAATATTTTAGAATCCATGCGAATTAAAAAATAATAATTTCACTATTAATTTTTTTCCTATTCGTCCAAAAAATTCAATTCACTCGATTTTTTTGGCAAATAAGGAAGAAATATCACCATGTTGATTTGTAGGGATTTAGCTTGCCAAATACGGTGATAATTCTTTACTTTTTAGTCAAAAAAATCGAGTGAATTGAAAATTTTGGATAAATAGGAAAAAATCAATATTTAAATTATCGTTATCAATAATAAATTGACCATTTTATATTTTGTAGATATGACCATATAAATGAAAATTATATTTTAAAATTTTGCAAATTCGAAGAATAATATGATTATTTATTTTTTTATTTCCTTATTTGCAAAAAGAAAAAAAAATCATGTGGATTAATTTTTTTTGACAATCAGAGAAAAAAATCATTAGTTAAATTATTATTATTATTCTCTCAAGTAAATATCAGACAGTGAAAGAAGTCATGCAATATGTAAAGTTGGACTTTAAGTTGGGCCTATTCGATCAACTTTAATTAATTGTTACAGATTGATATATAATTTGAATTTGGAAGGCGATATAGGTTTGTAATTTTATTTTAAAAGAAGGGAAATTTGATCAAACAAGCTCAATAAATAATGAAACTTATCGTTAAATATTTGAAAATTTTGATATTAATTTGCTGTAATTATAAATGTTATTAATGAATGAGATTTTAGGGAATAAGTAAATCTCAAATGTATAATTTAATTGTGGTAATTTAGTACAAAATTAATGAATATCAATTAAAATGATTAGAATCTTTCAATTAAGATTTGACTGAAATATGAATATTCATATGATTAGGTTATAAATTGGCTAAAGTAAACCTGAGGGAAACCAATATAGCAAGAACAGAAGGAAGCGCATTCGGTTATGGAAAAAGAAGAACCGCGTCGTCGCATATAAGGTTTTTTCTCTCACTTTCCCTTAGAATATTTTAATAATTCGCGTATTTAACTTCGATTTCACTACCTACGATTCATTGTTGAATAAAATTGTAAACAATGGAAAATAAGTAAAAGGACTCTTAATGTATGAGTTTTGATCCCAGCTTAAAGCTTTTTTTTTTTTTTTTTGGTACATTGCCAGGAGGTATCCCCATTCAACCTTCTCCGGGCACCATGCCCTCAGGGTACAGCCCGTTTGGGCTAGCCCCTCATTGTAACAGTAAGTGCACTAAGTTTCGCAATCGGAGAAAGGACGAGACTAATCCCCCAATCGAAGATTTTTTGATTTATCCTCTGACCCCCAAAGATTTTCCAAGAAACTGCTTGAGGCAGGGTTTGATCCCTGCACCAAGCAATCCCTTGGGAGCTCAGCTGCCAAGAGCTACCCTTAGGGGTTAGCTTAAAGCTTTAACTATTTGGTAAATAGGTTTATTGTGTGCTCTATAACTTTTACATGTGATTGCTCTATTCAAGAAAAGTTTTAGCTTTAGCTTTAACTATTGCTCTATAACTCGAATTATAACTTGCTCATACGTTTTTTGTACTCATTTTTCATTCCTTATAATTCGAATCAAGTAAAATAATCTCATTTAGCATCTGAAATTAAAGAAAAGATAAATAATTCATCTTACCCAGAGTTATTGATCTAGTGAGAATATATTTAGACTTTAAAATTTGACCAGCTCAAACGATAGTAGGTTTGATTCTTAAAAATTGTAATTCTAAAGAGACTCACATTCAAAAACAAATTAGTGGGTCCCATTAACATTTTGGACTATAAAAAAAATCATCTTTCAAAACTAGGATTTAATGTTTGTCTTTTTAAAGAATATAGAATTATACAATTTTAAGTAAGCAAAAGACACAAACAATAAAAATTATGGGAAAGAGAAAATGAGTGAATTTTTTTTAATTTACATTTTAAATAAAAAATATTAATTTGTATCTTTTTCTAACTTAAAATAACACAACTCTATATCCTTTTAAAAAGTAAAATCATTTTTCTCTCCAAACTATTATAGGATAAAAGTCTTGTAATAAGCTTCATTTATAATCAAAAAGATATTGAAACAAATAAGCCTTGTAAAAAACTTATTCTTGGGTGATTGGGCTTATGGGCCTGAACAAAGCGAAGTTCAAAGTTTATCCGGATCGGGTTTAAGGAGATTAGGCGGGCATAGATCGGATTTTGGAGTGGGCGTGGGAATAACCGATTGAAATTGAAGAGTCCACTGTATCTGTATTGTATGTTATGGTGTGGTGGGGGGTGGCCCCATTAACTCGGAACAACCTCTGGCGTCGCACGTGTTGATGCCCAACCTACAAACTATAGTCGACCAGAAAAGAAAATTCAGAAATCTGCAAAACAAAAACCAAACAAGGAAAAGGAAAAGGAAAACGTTGCTCTTCTCTTCTCTTCTCTTCTACGTTTTGCGTTCAACATGAAAACATAGCCTTTGGTTTTAGTTTCCACAAAACAAAAGGAAGCAAAAGACGAGGACGAGGAGGACCTTTTACAAACCGAGACCGTAGCCACAACAAAACCAAGCTTCATATTCATACTCCGAAAACACAACATTCTAGAATTTAGGAAAGCTAATCCTTCGAAGCTTAGCCATAGCTAGGGTTTCTGTTTCACTGAGCCAGGTTAACCCCTCTCTTGCCATTATATACTTTCTCTTTCGTTCCCCTTCTCGTTCTCAATTCTTTTCTTGCTCTTACTCTTAATTCCTTTTTTTTTTTTTTTTTGGTAAAATGTGTTTGTGTTTTAATTGTGATAAATTGCGTTATTAAATTTTGATTCCTCTTTTCCATTTTGATACAACTCAGCTCAGGCGAGGTAACTGTGACATTTTAGTATTTTAGGGTTTTACCATGTCTTCTGTCAAGCGTCCAATTTTAGGGTTTTGGATATTTTTAGTAGGTGTGCCTATGCCTTAAGAAATAAATTAAATAAACTACTATTGTTGAAAATTAAGAATTCATGTTTGGTTTTTGTTTTTGTATGGTTGTATGCGCGCTGGTTTCAGACTGGATTTATTCTTAATCATTAATATAAGCTTTGTTTATTTAACTTACTTACATTTTGTGTGCTGGTTTCTGATTTTATTTCTGAATTGGCCGTTTCCGGGATGAAGTAATATTTATTCAGTGATCGTGATTGGAAAGTTACAATTTGGTTTTTTGTGATAGTTGTAACTTCCTACCAGCATCGAAGTAACTGGTAATCTTATTTAGCTTTTATTAATTTCCCAATCCTCAAAATAGGACTTAATTTATTCAATGCCTTTATCTGTCTGTAGTTGTAAGTGATAGCTGATAGGCATGCTTGATCTGTTTAAAATATTTCTCAGAATGTATACTCAACCTGGCAACAGAGTCTAAAAATTGTTCTCAGAATGCAGGAGCAGAGTTAGGGGATTAATCCTAGGGGGCCTAGGAGAAAAATAAGAAAAAAATTAGTTTGAGGAGCTAATTTAAAGTTTTTGTTATAAAATTTGGAATATAGTGCACTTCATGTTTTATGATTCACTAAAATAATAATCCCAAAGTTGATGTTATCTATTAATTTAGGAAGCAATGGGTGTGCTGTGAATTGTCATTTTTTTAAAAGAAAAAAAGTTTTGCGTTGGCTTTGCTTGAGATTTCCACTTTTGGCAAGTTGTGTTACATTTCTTTTAGTGTGTACTCTGGTGTGTTGCAGCTGACAGTTTGTTCTAGCATAAACCGGTGCCTATCAAGTTCGTGCTTATATTGGAAAATGTTACTTGCATTCTATCTTGAGAAAATAAAAAATTATAGTGATTATGGCAGTCCTTTATAGTGTGAGTCAGTGACATGAGATTCATGAATAAGTTGTTAGTTATAACTATGAGTTTGCTGTCTGACCACTGGCCAGCCTGTTAGGACTGGGATTGTAAAAGGGCCTTAATTAGGGGTATAGGCATAGTTGTCGATAGCAGTTAGCGGCCGGTAGCAAAATGTCAATTTTGTCCTAAATTTAAATGTGTAACAGATAAAATTTAAGGGTTTTTTAGTCTATCCGCGTCTCTCTCTGTCACTTCTGGTATCTCTTCCTTTAAAAATGTTTATTTTTGTCATTATTTCTGTCATATATCTATTCCGCTATTTCTGCAGCCGCAACCCGCTATAACGTTATAGCGTTTTTCGGGGTTGGCCGCGACATGCCGCAATCCGCATTTGATAACTATGCGTTAAATGATAAATAAAAACTGAGTTATTGTCTTTTTTATTCATGACAAAGAAAGCATAATGGTGTAGGCATATGATGGTTCAAAAGGCTGGGATTTGTATGGTGTTTTATGCATGATAGAGGGAATGAATCATTTATTGGAACTAGAAACTGGAACCTTCTTTTATTATCTAATTTTGTGGTTCTGTGTTAGATATCTCCTAGACCACGTGGGAATTATGAATAAGGGGCAGAAAAGGAATTTGGGTTGTAACAACCTTGAGTACGTAGCAAGGATGGTGGGAAGGAAGGGTAAACGGTTAGAAGCAATGATAAATGAAAGGGAAAGGTAGAAGAGAACACATCTGGTCATTGAGTGAGTTTTGGGGCCCTTGGACAGGGAGGCTGGCAGAAGCTTGAAGCTCTACAGTATTCTTTCTTTCTCTTTCTTGTTTTGAGTGGTTTTCATCTTTGTAATTGGGGTTTATCTTTCTGTTTCTCTGAAATAGAATACTTGGTTCCTATCATTCGGAATCTTCAACCCCGATTAGGGCTTATAGAGTTGCTTACAAATAACCCACCAACAACAGACCCTGGCTGGATTCGATCCCCGACCAACTTAGTTGACACTGCTCACCCTTATCAGTTGTGCCAACTGCTGTTGGCTATTATTCTTCAATTTGAATGTTCATGTCTTGATTTTCTATATATTTTTATTTTTATGATATTCCAGTGGTGACTTTAATTAAGGGTCTTATATAAAACCATTAAGTATGATACATCCTATGTTCTGCAAAACTGTCTTTTTTTTTTATGGTGGTCTAAATCTATCAGACATGCTATCTGTAGTTGGCCATTTGCAAAAAAAGGCTTTAGGACTGAAAAGTTAGGTGCATTTATTATTTTTCAATGCTATTTTACCTGATTGTTGCTGTAAAATTGGGTTTTGATTTGTGTGTGCTTTGTTTTCTTGGTAAGAATGTGTAAGTTCCTCAACTAACCTTTATGTGTGTGTAAATATCAGAATATTATCACCAAAATGAACATTTCCTTTCTTACCATTTTTGCAGAGTTTGTTTGTGAACATTTTTCCAGAAATCCTATTCAAATTCTTAATGGTAGAGAAAGTTCTGGCATGCCAAAAGGATGACCTTGATGCTCTGAGAAAGATTATGTGAAGCAATATGACTCTTGAAGATTTTTTTACCTTGGCTGAGATGAAAGATGGGCTCACAGCCCCTTCTCGGGTGCAGGAGCTAGTGTCTGTAATGCAGAAGGAGAAAGATTGTGTGGTTAAAAATGCTAGTGATGCAACAAGGCAATGGGCTGCTGTTGCAGGCACTATTGCTGCTACAGAGAATAAAGATTGTCTTGATCTTTTTATTCAATTAGATGGACTTTGGTTCATTAATAGATGGTTAAATGACGCTCAAAATTTCGGGGTTGACCCAAACGACAGCTTTATTGAAGAATCAATCACTGCAATGTTACGGGCAGTTGAAAAGCTGCATCTAGACAGTGAGAAGTCAATTTCATCAGGAATTCACATCACCGTAAATAATCTTCTTGACCATCATAGCTCCAGGGTTCAGGATAGAGCAAGAGTACTATTTGATAGCTGGAAAGGAGGTGGAAACAGTGATGCTGAACCTCATGATGCGGAGCTTGCTAAAGTCAACAATGCAAGTGACAAGATTGTCAGGGAGGAAGGCCAGCCATCTGATTTGAATGGAACTGGCTATATTGATGATCATGCATCAGGACTTGTTGGAAGGGGGGAATCTCTTTCGAGAAACTCAGATAATTTACTGCCAGAGAGGTCTGCCGGCGTACTGATACAGAGTTCTGACAATGTGCTTCGGTCTTCCATAAGTGTGGAATGTGAAGATATCAACCAGAGATCACCAAACCATCTTGCTAGTGTATCATCTTCTGCTCAAGAAGTTGCTTCTGAACATGAAGGATTACCTACAGGTGAGACCACTTTGTTTGGAACCTGTAACTTTCCTGTTCCAAATCAAGGAAGTTTCGAAGGACAACCAGATGCGATGCAGTTAAGTGACACAGCCAAAAAGGAAAAGCAGGAGCAAAATGTTAATGGCCCTCCAGAAAAATTAGGACCACCAGAGATCTGTTCAGTGTCCACTAAGCTAGAACCTGAGCCTGTTTCCATGGGTGCTAGTGAAGCAAAAGTACCGGAATCCATGAAAGAACCAGCTTTAGAGTGCAATCTTGAAAACAATGAGGATGGTGTTGGTCATAAAATAATTGCTTCTGGTAGTATGAGGACACCTGCGTCTGATAGGAGCGGGTTGGATGATATCAGAACTGTTAACAATGATGACTGTTCTAATGCTATGCAGGATTCATCAGTCAGTGGCAGCAACTTGGGAAAGACTGAGGTGTTGGGGATGTCTGCGTCTGGAATAGAATATGTCAGAGCAGTAAAGGAAGACAAGGGACATGTTTATAATGATGGCAACGATACATCAAATGGTTCTGATTCTAGTAAACCTGGAAACTATTCTAGAAGTCCTAACATAATTGACAAGAAAGTTTCTGACAATGAACTTGATGATGGCATTGTGGATGCTTTAGAACTTGCTCGACAAGTTGCTCAGGAAGTTAAGAGAGATGTCTGTAGTTCTTCTTCAGAGAAAATCTCAGAAGGTGGAATCAGGCGACCAGGCAGCCCCGATTCTGTAAGAAAAGAGGATGAGCTCACTCGTGTCCCACCCAAGGAGGTCTTCTCCATACGAAGCCACTCTTCTCAGGAGGGACAAGCAAGTATTTCAAACAATATTGAGCCTGAGCTGGAATGCAGATCTGACCCAGAGTCCTTGCAAGTGACTGACGCAGCTCAAGATTCAGGAAGTAATTCAGAGAAACAACTCTGTGCCTTTGATCTCAATGAAGTTGGTTCTGATGATATGGATATTTCTGTAAACACAATGTCTACTCCAATACCTGTTGTCTCTGCTTCAAGGCCTACACCAACTCCTGGGTTGCCTGGGGCCCCTTTGCAGTTTGAGGGGACACTTGGGTGGAAAGGATCGGCCGCCACCAGTGCCTTTCGACGTGCATCTCCTCGTAAAAATTGTGATAGTGAAAAGATTCTTTCTGTTGATGGGAACTCCGATACTTCCAAGCAGAAGCAGGATTGGCTTGATATAGATCTAAATGTGGCTGAGGGTGAAGAAGGATTGGTAAAACCAATTGCTGAATTTTCAGGCCTTCCTTCTGGGCAATCATCTGTAGATCTCAGTCCTAAAAGATCAAACAGGCTTGAATTGGATTTGAACAGCATTGGTGATGATGGTGATGCCCAACCTTCAGATCACAGGATGGAGGGGCAACTCTTTCTTGGAAGAAATGGCTATTGGAGCCCATCACCTGCATCGTCATCATCATCAATGCAGCCTTCGGTTAGAAACATTGATTTGAATAACAGGCCATGCTTTCAAACTGATGTAGTTGACCAGGGGCCCGGTAAGTCTTCTCATACTATCAATGCATCTGGGCGTTCTAAATCATCTGATGCTCCTGTTATCTCTATTTTGGGTGCCAAGGTAGAAGTTGGTAAAAGAGAATATGTTACTCAAACTTTTTCCTTGCCAAATGGCAAGGCTATTGAACCTGCAATAGATCTTACAATGTCAAGACCAGGTGGCTTTTTAGGGATAGCCCCCACAGTATCCTACAATCATCCAGCTGTTTTTGGGTATAATGGATTGGCATCGGCATCAGCATCAGCACCCCCTTTTCCATCAGCCATGTACGGGTCAGGTGGCACAATTCCATACATGGTGGACACAAGAGGGGCTCCAGTTGTCCCTCAAGTAGGTGGATATTCATCAACTGTCCTTTCATCTTATTCTCAGCCACCCATCATAATGAGCATGACTGGTACACAACCCGGTTTAAATGGGTTTGGACCACCTTCACGTCCTAACTTAGACCTAAACTCTGGCTTCATGGTTGAGGGTGGGAATAGAGACGCATTGGCAGCTAGGCAATTTTTCTTTCCTGTTCAGGGGAGGGCTATGGAGGAGCATGTAAGAACCATGCAACAGCCCTCAAGTTCTGGGGTTGGTGGGAAAAGAAAGGAGCCAGATGGTGGTTGGGAATCCTACCCTTTTAGCTACAAACATCAGCAACCTCCATGGAATTAGAGCTTCTAATTTGTGATTTTACCTCTTCTGAACTGTTCATAAATACAGCGTACCCATTGATGAATGATCATCAAGAGTAGGTCAGTGCACTGGCATCCTTTAGTTACAGAAGATCTCGAACTCAATAAAAGCTGGGGGAATACGGATGTAATATGATTCATATGATTGATTGGCAAAGGGGGGAAACTGAGTTTTCTTTTGTTCTTTTTTTCTTTTCGCTTTTTCCAATGTTTTTCCTTCCGTGTAGCTTATTAGAAAGGAAGAACAAGCATAGTAACTCTTGGTACATCTAGCTTTAATTTCTCTTTCATATGTTAAAGAAATTTATAGGCATAGTATCATGTTTCTCACTGTCACAGTGGTGCTTCAGTGCATTGCCACTATTTAGTTTATTTTAGTCAGTTTTCGCTATTAAGTTAATAACCTGTAAAAAGAGAAATGAAGAGTCGTTGACTGAGAAAAGCCTCTGTTCAAAATTTCTGCTTACATATACTTCCTGATTCTGTAGAAGCATTTTGTTATTAACCTCCGCATTTATGGTGTGGTGTGAGTATTTTTATTTTGCTGCTCAACCCAGGCTTTTGATTATGCTTCTGCTTCTGCTTTATGCCTTTGTTTTCATATCCAATGACATTTTTGTTGCAAATTAGCGTTATTCTGTCGGAACAGTCTTTATTCAACCCTCCATTCTTGTACATTACTATCATAATGAAATCATTATATAACTTGGTTGACATCTGCAGCCCAACTGTCAGAACTAGATTTTAGTGCATATTGCAGCTTTCTCAGCCTTGGTGGCGATGATAATTTCTTTGGGTGTCAACTTATTTTTTTTGCCGTTCTCAGCGCCACCCTTTAATTTTAATTTTCAACAGTTGTCTGTATCTCCCAATTTTAATGGAGACAAATTAATCATTGATTTGTGATCAGTTTATTTTCGTTGTCATATTCAATATTCAGACCATACCAGTGTCCCGCGAAAAAAAAAATTAGTGCTACTGGAGTATCCAAATGAGTACTTCCTTTTTTCGATATGAAAAATTTTCTTCCATGTTTCAAAAAATAAAATAAAATCAGCTACATAACAAAGAATTTCACATTTAAAAAAGGGAGTATCCAAGCACTAAAGTTTTTTTTTTTTCTAGAAATAGGAAGTATAGCAATTTTTATGTTAAATTTGTTTGGGTGTTTCCTATTTGATATTAATATCATTTAAAAAATCAGCACATTAGTTGTTATTTTCATGGGATAGGATATTGTAACAAACAATTAGTGTTACTACCAATGTTACTACCAATCAATTTCACCGTTTGATCGATTATGTTGATCCAACGGTTATATTTATTTTCATCTTTGTATGATTATGATTCCCTATATTTAATGTGAAAGCATTAAATATGAAAAATCATAACCATACAAAGGTGAAAATAAATATTAAATATTAAATATGGAGAATCATAACCATATAAAGATGAAAATAAATATAACCTTTAGATCAACATAATCGATCTAATGGTGAAATTGATTGGTAGTAACACTAATTAGTTCTTACAATATTCTTCCCCTATTTTCATATGTACAAAAAAATTTCTAATATTATATATCATCAAAGAGAAAAAATAAAATTAAACGAGCAATATTTATGAAAGAAACTGGCGCTTAATTAGTCGAATGCAATAAACATCTACATTAGGTACTGCAAATGAAATAAAAATTTAAAATCGTAGACACACAAAACTTGGAAAAAAACTTTAGTGCTAAGGTGGGTATTCCCTTTTTTTCAAATGTAAAAGTTTTTGCAATATGACGAGAGAATTTATTTAAAAAAAATGAATGAAAATTTTTCACGTTTGGAAAAAGAAAGGTAGAAGTTTTGTTCCTATTTCTATTTTGTGAGTAAGCCCTCGGCCTTTGAAGAATTTAATTCTTTTTAAGAGTATTATACTCTCTTTAATGTGTAATTATTATTTCGTACAAGGAACGATACATTTTTATGCTCTCCGTACAAGTAAGTCAACTGATCAGAAAATTGACAAGTAGGCAAATGCCAGTGCACAAGCTTGCCGACTTAATTGTATACGTGTTACCTTTACATTTTAATTATAAAGAATAACTTTATACTGTTTCAATATTTGCCCTCAGAAATTTGCCAAGTATAAAAAATAATATCAGATATTTAATGCTTCTAATGATTTACTTCATACAAACATTCAATTTACTAGTGAATTTTGTAGAAACATTATCTACTTAAAGTGATTTATTTTAATTTTTTTTATAAACTACAGTATTCTTCAAGTAAAGTAATTCTATTTAGAACGGATTTAAAATTAAAATTTTAAATTTCTCTCAAATATAATATTAAAAAAGATTGAACATGTATTCCCACCAAGGATGTATTAAAATAATTTATTGATGTATGAAAGAATCCGAGCAATTGGGTCTGAGTGTACGACAGAAATATACCGAAGCAGCCGGCATGGTCCTCCACCCTCCCAACTACGGTCCAATTCAATTCCTAACACGCCAAAATTACATGTCAGGGAGCATGCGCTGCTGATGAGTAAATATATACCCAAAATAAATCGGTTTATATAGAGAAAAATATTTTTCAAGCAGCTTGAGATATATTTATCTTTATCTATTTCAAAATTACGTGATTTTGTTTATTTGTTTCTTTATATTAATTGATTCTCCTTTTAATGATTATGATTCTATTTCTCTCTCTTTTCCTTTATCACTATTGATTCATCTTTGTATGGTTATGATTTAGAGGACAGAGATAAAGTTATCTCAAATAGCTTGAGAAACGATAAGTCATATATATATGGAAAGAATCCGTTTACAATTTTTTTTTTTACAAATTACACTAAGTATGATCGGTCATATACTCTTCATTGAAGCATGATCGGTCATGCTTAGTGTAGTTTGTAAGAATTTGTAAACAAAAAGTTTGTAAATATAATCTTTCCTATATATATATATATATAATTTTTTTTATCTAATAACTCTCATCTCAGATGAGAATGAGATATCAAATTTTAAATTTGACACTGGTATCAAAAGATCATAACTATATATATATATATATATATATATATATATATATATATATACACGTGCACACACACCCCACAAGGTCCAATGCTTCGAGACAAAGCAAAGCTGCGTTAACCGTTAAATCAGTGTTCCTCCACCATCACCAACCCCTACCTATAGTCAGGCCTAGGCTATTCTCCTCCATCCAGTGACGCAGATGGCACCTCCTCCTCATTTATTGTTGGGAAAAATGTTATTTTTTTAAATGACACAACTTATATCTTCTCACTCTCCATAAAAAGATAGGATCTACACCTTTATTTTTTTTGTCAATTCTCTCTCCTCCTTTATCTATCTCTTTATCTCTCTTAAAATGACACAAATTTACCTCCTTTAAAATGACACACACTTTATCCTTTATTGTTATTAACATTTTCAATGTCTATAACCCAGCATAGCCAAAGCCTAGAATTTTAAAAATCAAGCAGCAGTATTTACATTATTTTGGAAAACAATAACTATACCAACTAGTAATATTTATTACTTTTGGATATATAAATATAACTAATAGTATATTTACACTACTGACATTCATACTCATTTATTATAAAGACAAATAACCTTTGTCTGAAACTTAACTTTTTTATAATAAAGAAATTTATTTTACTCATAAAATAAATCAATAATTATCATATTACTTATAGTATTAAAATTATGGGCAATTGAAATATAAGCATATAATTTGAAATTAAATTATCTTAAATTTTTTTTTACTTTCATGGTTAATAAATCTATCACACTTTAATTTAAAAATAGTAATATTTTGTAAATAATTATAAAATTTAAAATTTCATTTGGAATCTTAATTTAAATAGTATCGCAAAATACATTATAGACAAAATGAATATTTATAAAAATTATTAATATTTATAACACCATAACATTATATAATTAATATCATATATACATAAATCGTTATAAAAATAATAAATTTTACATTCAATTTTAATAATTGATCTCTATTTGTATCTAACAGCTCACATACATAATAAATTAGATATAAGTAAAATCACCTGTTATTGGAAGTTGATCATTCCATTCTCTCTCTATATATAATAATGTATGAATTGAATGTTTTCATCCCAACGCAATTCATTCAATTTGTTCAAGAATATTCAATTGCATTTTTCAAATGTTGAAACAACCCTTCCTTTTTATACTATAACCGTCAATTAAAAAAAGGGTCAACGATAAATTAGGTAACATTAATAATAAAAAAGACTATGATTTTTCAAACTTCGCATGCGGTGATGATACATATGTAAATTGTCATATAAAGTTTATGTTAAATATGCAAAGGGCAATGACATGTTTAAGAATCTTGAAAGTTCACAACTTGTACATTCATATAATTTTATCAATATATATATTAACCTTTGTCTATACTAAAAATGAACACTTCAATTTATAGGATTTGAAGTATAATGATAGTTGTTTATGGAAAAAAAAAAGTCATGAATATTTTCAATATTATATTGTCAATATTCATTAAATCCTTTACTTAATTTTTTACGAAGTAATTTAACTATTAAATTATATAAACTTCTAATCACATGAAACATTTGTTATATATGTCCACCTCCTCCACCACCATGAGTGACTAATCCCTTTACCTATAATCCTCCCCAGAGGACTCTTCTCCGTCTTAGTGACGCAGATGGCACCTCCTCCTCATTTATCCTTATTAGCATTAATTTTCTGTATATAACTTAGCAAAGCCAAAGCCTAGCATTATGAAGATCAAACAGAAACCAATGCGCGCATTTTTCTCTCAAAGGAATATATTATTATTTATTCACATAAAGATCCCATATCCGATAAGCATATTATATTACAAGGTATGAGTATACACATATTTCATTCTCAACCAGAACCCCAAACACGCGTCTCGTGCCCTTTTGATATTGGGTAAAGGTTTAGGCAGCTTATTATACTCAAATACAAAAACAACCCTAGAGAAAATTTTGTATAACTTACAAGTGGGGAAGAAAATCAATTATAACCGTCTTTTTCATTTCTTTATTTTTTATTCTCTCTCTCTCTCACTGTTTTCTATCTTTACCAATTAATATAATTATTAATTATGAAGAACCTGTCACAAAGCACCGTAGGGAATCTGCTGAGGAAGTCTGAAACGGACCTGAGAAGCTGGCGATCGAACGGCCACGCCGTGCCAGCAGATGCCTCCTTTGCACATCTCATGTGCGTGATTATGATGGTGACGTGTGAAGGCATACGTGGCTTTACGTGAGAGGTCCCACGTCAGCGTTGCCACCAGGATCAGACCAACCACGGTGGTCGACACAATCACAACAAACCCGCCGCTAAAGCTTCGCCCACAGACAAACCCATAGACCTTAATACACGCGATCACTGCCACAAAGACTGTGGTCATGTTGCTCACCACTGCATCAGACACCGCCATAGAAACAACGAATCTAAGAAGAGAGTGTTGTGTTGTGTTGTCTACTCTGTTTACTCTGTTCTGTAAAGTGTAACAGAAACAAACATCATCAGACAGCAGCAAAAGCAAACTAAGCAAGGGATCTGGGTGCGGGATATGGCTTTAATTCTTCCTTGTGTTGTGCGAATGTTACAGGGTTTTAATTACCTGAAATTACGAAAACGGGTCCCTCACCTCTCTTCTTTTCTCTTCTCTCTTCTCTCAGCTGTGGTGTCTCTGAATGCTGTGGAATTTGCCTTGCCACATATAAAAGCCTCCTTGGAATACAAAGGGATCAGCTCCACCCGCCTATTTTTTGAACACCAATTAAATAACTCCACGTGTCTTGATTCTTGCAATCCTTATTACATGGCTCTTCCTCACTTTCCATGCCTCTCTCCCTTTATCGTCCTACTACAACCATGTTACTTACTACCTTTTTTTTTTTTTATATACCTTTTTCGTACTAATATTGTTTTAGTTTTTTTTTTTTTAACCCATTTCTGTCAAATTTTATAATTATTCACTAATTTAATTATTGTGTCAAATGATTTATGAATCTAACGGAAAAAAATGGATATCCTAAGTCGTGCATTACCCTATGCATGACTTGTGAAAAAAAAAGCTTGCAAAACATGCATAAAAAATTGTGCAACTCGAACGCGTACTGTCAAGATGTGTATCATGCAAAGCGTGACATATTTACATAAGTTACACATGAGAGATGATGCATGACTTGAATATGTACAGCAAGAGTATGCATTTGTCAAATCATTTAAAAAAAAGTAAACTAATGAATTTTTTTCAATTTTACTTTACATGCATAAAAAAACTTAGTTTTTGTCCTATGTTTATCTTACCAGTACCAAGATAAAATCTTGCTAAAAAAACACACACACGAAAGAAAAAAGCACCATAGTTTAGTCCTCTTAAACGTGTTGGAATCGAGTACCAAACAGGGGTAGGCCATACTGTTATTTAAGTATTTCACCTAGAGTCACAGGCATGACTATTGACAAGCGCGTATCTTTTAAATTCTAACAGACGTTTAACAACCTCAATGCTGACTACGACCAACCCAAAATATTAACATTCTACGGGTTTAGGTTAATATTATACCTCCTCGTTTTTTATTTATCAGCAAATTCTTAAGTCCGTTCAATTTCACCAAAACTTAATTGAACGATTATATTTGTCTCTGTCCTTTGTCCCATATGTAGAATTTACTCAAGCATAATGTGGATCGATGAAGAATCATTGCGCGCTATCTTTCCTTGCACACTAATTGTTGGCATCAACCTCATTAGTCTCCCTCTTTTTATAATTATGATAAATTCCGTTAACAGTATTTGGATGGTTCAGGTCAATTAAACAATTATTATATTAGGAAGTTTGGATTACGATGTCCTAACTTCTTTTTCTATAAAAAAAAATTAATTGATAAGGAAAATTGAGAGGAATTGGAGGGTATCAATTTATCGGTTGCTGGTTTGTACCTTTTACAATTGCACCCGAATTGGGTTCCCTATCTGTGGAAGTGAATCTATATCATCTTGGGAAGTCACGGAAAAAGTTTTGGACATTTTTTTTGGTACAAGTTTCGGATACTTTAATTATGGGGATTCATGATTCAGGCCATTTCTCCTAGTGTTAAAAGGCTTCTTATCGAGACTGAAGTGCACGCACCAGCATCTATCCATGAATCTGACCGTTGATTCGTGAAACCACGTGGTCCAAACTGATCATTGCCTTTCCCACATTTCTATTCGTAAAAAGTACGCTGCCACATTATAACCAAGTAAATTACCCAGGGGGCGATTTAGTAGATGAAAAAAAAAATTATGCTTGAAATCACAATTAACAGGAATATTTGTTTGAGAGGCCACTACCAAGAATGTGATAAAAAAATTATGCTGGGAAAGTGAATTTTTTTTGAAATGTGATTAAAAAATTATTTGATAGGTTAAAATATTATCAAAAATATTAGTTCAAATTTTCTGATTTTATATTTAATTAATTGTTAAATATTATTCGAAATGTGAGGTAATTTTATAACCTTCACTTTGTCTCTTCTAAAATGAGTGTTCGATGGTGCTCACATCATCATCCAAAAGATTCACCAATCGCCGTTACTAGAAACGGTGTTACGGTGCTTTATCTTAAATATTTTATCAAGCATATTGCACTCAATCTAAAAACAGAAAGAAAAAAAAAAGGAATGGCAATGTCTGGGGCTGGTGAACCTGGGATGAAAACGGTGGAAGAAGAGGACAATATTAAAAAAGGAGCGTTAAGAGGAACAAAGGATACAATGATAAATTTTCGGCTGATTTAATCACACCAGACAAAAAAAATTCATCAAACCCTTCTTTGGAGCAGTCATCATTGCGCCACTACTTCAAGTCTTTTTTATCTAAATGACACGTCTATGGACTTTCTTTTCAAACTGCCACGCAGACAAGTTCGCTCGGAGTTGTAGCGAACTAAGTATGCTAATATGTCAGCTTTTTGATGGTCCTGAAGTTCGCTACAGACACAAGCGAACTCTGCAGCATTTAATGCTCTGCACCTTGCCACCAGTCAAGTCACGTGTCATGCATGCAACAGAGGTCGCTGGCCACATCAGCGAATTCTATCTAACAGCATGAACCAAGTGCGCTTCCAACGAACTTGGGACAACCCCCCCCCCCCCCCCCCCCCCCCCCCCCCCAATTCCCCAACCCGAAGCCCCTCCCCCCTCTTTGTTCTCTCACTCTCATCTTTTTTAATCTTTCTTCTCTTATTTCATCTCTCTCTCAACATTTGTCTTCATTTGAGGTTAGTAGTTTATGTGCAATGTAGTTATTTTTTTTCAGTTTTATATAGTTATTTAAATGTTGTTAATTATTTATATATAAGATGAAATATTAGGTTAGAAGACCCCATTATGACTAAGCCATATGCATGTTAATATTAGTAGTTTAATATTTTATATTAATGCTTGATTCAATAATATGAATTGTTTCCTATTATTTATAGGGTTTTTAGGTTATAAATTTTTTATATTATTGTTGTTAAATTTATCAATAATTTTTTTTTAATTATGCAATTATTAGTAATTGAATATTAATTGTGCCATATTATTTAATTAATGTATTAAATAAATTGTTTTATATGCATTAGTTATTTATATGGTTGAAATGTAGGTTAGATAATTTTTATATTAATGTTGTTAAATTTTGTATTTAATAACTTGTTGGTTATGCAATAATTAATAATATTGAATTAAATAAAATTATTTAGTTCTAGGATATAACACAATAGGTTAGAAAATTTTAACATTGACTTAGAATATGTATATTAATGTTATTAGGTATAGCAATTTATATTAATCTATTATTTAATAATATAGTTGTTTGATGTTATTCATGGGGTTGAAATGTAGGTTATGATTTATATTGATTTTAATGTTGTTAAAATTTATATTTAATAAATTCATGACTATAAAATAATTAATGTTTTAAATTAAATAACATTATTTAGTTATAGGATTGGAAAATATGTTACAAAAATTTTGACGATAATCTTTGTATTTATTAATTTATTTATTAGTATTTAGTATATATATTTTTATATATTATATAATTTTTGTATAATATAATATATTTCTTAGTAGTTGGTATTTATTTTTTTTAAATTATATAATCTTTGTATAATATATTATGTTAAGTTACAATATTGTTTATTTAATTCTTAGTAATTAGTATTTATTTATTTAAATTCTATAATTTTTGTATAAATAAAATATTAAATTACAATATTGATTAACTTATTTCTTAGTAATTAGTATTTATTTGTTATATAATATTTAACTTTTGTATAATATAATAAATTATTGTATTTTATAATTTAATATATTATAATTTGTGTATAATTTTTGTATTACACAATTAATCTTGTTTATTATGTAATATATAATTATTTATTTATGGATTATAAAATAATTAAATAATGTTTAATATTTAATTATTTCTTAGTAATTAATTAGTATTTATTTTATATATTATATAATGTGTAATTGTAATAATTGACTTTTTTTGTAAATAGATCCATGAAGCAGGAGGACCCGTATCAGACTTTCATTGACCCTGGTTCACAGGTGCGTTCTCTCCTGACGTTGCAGGAGAAACACATCTCCACGGTTGTGTGGAACACATCAGATGACGCACAGCAACGTGATCATGTCTTCAATGTCAGACACGCAGCGACACACGATCACTTGGATATACCAGAGGATATTCAACCTTACCTTAGGCAGGCTAGGTTTTATCACTTTGCGCGTTTGCACAACCATGAGGTTAGTGAGACATAGACCTTATAACATCCACATTACATGTTGTATGTTTCATAAATTCTGATAAAGTGTAATTTTTTTTGAAACAAATTGATCACTCACTCATCTCGGCCCTTGTGGAGAGATGGCGGCCTGAGACGCGCACATTCCACATGCCGATGGGTGACGTTAAGATTACCTTGGAGGATGTACACCATCTAATGGGATTGCCACATATGGAAAGGTTGTATGTGGTCGGTCGGAGGCCATCCCTTCTCGGACCTTATTATAGATTTGTTAGGAGTCGAGCCCTCCCGGCAGCGCGACTTTCATAAGAACCAAATTTCGCTCACATTTCTTTGGGAACAGTTTCTGCATTACCATACCCATGCTGGCACTGAAGCTGGCCGTATGAGATACACACGTGCGTTGATCCTGCGCATATTGGGTGGTTGTTTGTTCGTTGAGACTGCATCGAGCTTCGTGCATGCGCGGTATCTATTATTTTTGGATGATTTCCAGCATACAGGGACATATTCTTGGTGTTCAGCCGTACTGGCTACCTTGTACAGGGAGTTGTGCAAGGTAACAGAGCCACGACGATCAGACATGGGGGGATGTGCTCTGTTACTACAGCTGTGGGCTTGGACGCGTTTCCCTACTATCTCACCGGGACTCCTTGATATCACTGACGTCCAAGCTATTTTGGGAGCGAGGTCTTTGCCTTTTGAACATTTAATTTTTCTTGCAATCATTATACATAGTTGTTTTATAACTCAGTTTTTGTAATTGTTACGTTAATCAGTTCTATAATCTTGTCTTCTTGTTTTGCAGGTTTAATATCTATACGTCGAGACGGTTTCGATTTTCCCACATCAGACGCTACCGTCATCACATTGACGTTATGCCCATCCGCAGGATACGGTGGAGGCCGTATGATGGATTCGCTGCACATCAGCCGTCCTCTGAAGAATCGCGCAGATGGTTAGCTGTTTGTCCGCTCATTCACTACCAGATCGTTGTCTACCAGCAGTCGGATAGAGTGCTGAGGCAATTTCGTTTTAGGCAGCCGATCCCGAGTGATCCATTGCAATGTTCGGAGCTCCTTACTGTCACCCTCACTGGTAAGGGTGACGTAGACTGGAGGGACCGACAAGGACTGTATATAGCACAGTGGCATTCGAGGGATGCCCTCGTTGTTCAGGGTCTACAGCCGGACGACCGAGATGGACATCTGTCTGTGAATAGCACTTACATGCAGTGGTATTTTTAGCATACGCGCGATAGATGATGCAGAAATCGGCCATTCATTCTCATGTGGTATGTAACTGGGTGCTTTCATCATTATCGTTTTGAACTCTAGTTTGACAACATAATGACACATTGGTTTTACATATTTTTTGCAACACGGAGTGATCGCATGGAGACTATGGTTCATATGGCATCAGACGAGGCCCAGGGAGCTTTCACTTATCGCCAGCTATACGACGAGGCCCTTCAGGTGATGTCTGCATTCGCTGAGTTTGGAAGACTTACAGACCCTGGAGAGCCTGCACCTCCGCCGACAGTTGTGCAGGCAGTTGAGCCTCCTCGTCCTGAGCGTCGTAGCCAGCGTGCACGCCACGGGGGGTTGCCTCTACATCATCAGACTCCTGCAGTTGCTGATCGGCCTGTTCATGTCCAATATCTTCCACCGCGTCCTCCGGGCAGTTCTACGCACCAGCTTACCCTTCAGGAGGTCTGTCGCAGCCGTACTGGTGGCCTCCGTAGTATGTCCCTGCCACAGGCGATTCTAGTCATACTGGTGTCCCATCTTCGCAGTACGGCTATCTTGGTTTTCAGTACCTCTCCGCATTCGTTCCCTGCATATCAGCAACATTTCAGTCAGTCGTTCCCAGGTCAGCATTTCCCAGGTCAGAGCAATGGACCATCCTCTTCGCATGCTGATCCTCAGATGGGTGAGCATAGCCAGTATACAAGGCAGTTTAGTTCGCAGCCAGAGCCCGGTCTGGATGAGTTTTCAGAGGATTACAGACCGACATTTGATTCAGCTACCGTCGTGGCCACACCGCAGGCATATTCGACTGACTTCCTGCAATCACCCTTATCTGTTCCTACAGGAGTGGTATCACAAGATGATCTTGCAGGGGCCATGGACAGCGTTGATGCGGACGCAGGAGCCGAAGCAGCCGAAGTAGACGGCATCAGGCGTAACCCAGATCGACAGGCCAGGGAACGGTGTTTCTTTTCACCATATGAGCATGACCAAGACCAGGCACGTTGTGCCAAGTATCATTTGAGGAGGCGACAGCAGTGATACGATCTTTGATCATTGGACTTATCGTACTTCAGTGATGTTATATGTATTAACCTTCACTTTTTTGGGTTTACGTTGTTTGTTTTATGCATGACACGTTTTTTTTTTCATTTATTAATGTTGCGAGTATTTGATGTTATGAAATCCTATCATGTGGTGGTATGTGCAATGCACTTTTCAATACGTAATAATCAAGATAGTAGCAACAATCACACGATAACCAGTTTACTAAATAATAAATACAACACGAACATGTAGACGTACATTAATCAGTTCAATATAAACACGTATAATTAAAAACATTACCAAAACAACTAACAACACTCAAAATGACACGGTACCAAACACATAGCAATATCCCAGGATAACCCTTCCATTTATGTGCCTTGCAGGCGATATGGACAACGACGTCTGTCATGGCCAACAACCCTACAATAACCACATCTTGCCTGCGTAGTCGAGCCTTCGCGCTGATCCATTTCGTTACGGATGCGGGTACTTCGCGGCCTGCCTTTCTGACATCTAAGTGACACATCCGGGAGAATAGTTGGGCCTTGGCCGGGTGGGATGAAATCTTCATTAGTAATTGGGTACCATTGCCCGGAATATACCTGACATTGATATGATGCACTATACGCATGATCAATATATTGTAAGGGGTCATGGTTAACTGATTTGCATACTGCAATAACATGACTACATGGGTACCTAAAAGCAGTAAACTCACCACACTGACATGCCCGATCTGCTAACGATACCCACCACTTCTTTATGCCTCCATGGGTTCTTTGATTGTATGACTCTTGAACTTCAAATCTCAACATATAATAAATGCTTTCGGGTAAAATTATTAGCTGCTTTCTTTAAAAATAAAAATAAAAATTGCTGTTGTGCAGCTGTTGCATTTCAAATTGCTGTTGTATTTTTTTTTTTTGGAGTTACCCAACCCTAATTATCTCTTTGAGACGAGTTGGCTCCCTCCGGTATCCCCACGAGCTTCGACTCTTTGAGCCGGCTATGAGACTAATCCGGAGTGCGGGGGAACAGTGATGGCTAAAGGTTCAGCCCCCTCCCCAAGAGTGCATTCAGCGGGAATCGAACACATATCCAACCCCACTAACTCAGCGCCAAGTTACCAACTGAGCTGCACCTATTGGGTAAATTGCTGTTGTATTTCAAATTTGAATATTTAGTTTGTTAGATGTTGAAGTAGTCTGTTTTATCATTCATTTAAATTTGTATCCTTAGCTTACGGTTTGTTAAGTTGTTCCATTAGATTAGTGTAGATTGGTTCTCGTTTGTTATTCGTATCTTTTTGTTTTGTGGCTATATTTAAAGCCCATCAGATTATTAATGAAAGACAAGCTGTTATATTCGAAGCAGTTTCTGATAAAGTTTAATGTCTTATTTTTTTTTTCAAAAAAAAATTATACTTGTAGTATCAATCATTTTCATGACTTGATGATTATTAATGGGCCGAAGCTCTTATTTAATTTCGAGTACAAATCCTTTCCATTTTTTATTTTTTATTTTTTTTGTTGATAAAATACGGGGAAGGAATTCTGGAAGCCCAAAAAGAAAAACGGAAACAAAGCGGATTGAAGGCAACTAATTCCAGTCTTTGAGTTACAGGAAACCAATAGAAGTCTGCCACGTTTCGAACAAGAGTGGCATAGCCAATGAAATTGGTTGTAGACTTGGGGTTTATGAGTCGTTCTGTGGAGTCGCATACTGCACTCGCGTTTTCCACGTCACGGGAAACAAGCAGACCAATATAACAAAGCCATGTCTCCGAAAGCAGATTTGTAACCGCCGGATCATCCACGCTGGCATCCACGTCAGAAATTCCCGTGATGATCACGGTCGCAACCAAAACCCGAGTCGTATATAAGAAATAAGAGGATCGCAATTCTCACTCTAACGGATCAGTTCATTAAGCAGAAGCAGGAGCAGAAGCTACTAGAAACATTGCGATGAGGAAGTGGACACTCCCTTCCGCACTCCTTCTCCTCTGTCTTCTCTTTCTCTTTGCGGATCAAGGTGTGCCATGCCACCGTTTCTCTTCGCATTTCCGTTTTTATTCTCAGCATTTGAAGTTTGAATTCGATTATTGTCTGGTTAGGTCGTAACTTTCAGGCGAATGCGGAGGTTGATTCCGATGAGCTTGTAGATCCACCGAAGGTGGAAGACAAGATCGGTGCCGTTCCGAATGGCCTTTCCACTGATTCAGATGTGGCCAGGAGGTGTTTCGCCCTATCATGCATGTTCTTGTGTTGATTCGTTGTGAGTAAACTAAAAACTAAAAAAAAAAGTATTTATGTGATTGAAGGGAGGCGGAATCGATCTCCAAGAGATCGCTTCGAAGCAGCGCGGAGAAGTTTGAGTTCCAAGCGGAAGTGTCACGGCTTATGGATATTATCATCAACTCACTCTACAGTAACAAAGACATTTTCCTTAGGGAGTTGATCTCCAATGCCTCTGATGTAAGCTTCTTTTTTTATTTTTTTATTTTCTTTCGCTTTATGCGTTTTTCATTTTGAAAACTCAGACTTCGTCTTGTTGACAAACTTCTTGCATATTATAGGCATTGGACAAGATTAGGTTCCTCTCGCTCACCGATAAAGAGATCTTGGGTGAAGGTGATAATGCCAAGCTCGAAATCCAGGTTTGTTCAAATGTTCTACGTTATCTTAAGAAATGAATGTACTTGTTTAGTTATGTGTGCATGGTTTGTTTTGTAATTGTAATTGTACCTAAAACTCGTTACTGCGTTTGATGAAATGGCAGATTAAGTTGGACAAGGAAAAGAAAATCCTTTCCGTTCGAGACAGGGGTATTGGTATGACAAAGGAGGATTTGATAAAGAATTTGGGCACCATTGCAAAATCTGGAACCTCAGGTATATATATAATGTGGTCTTTGCCGAAAGAATTTTCCATTTGTAATATGGAGTGAAATGTGTTAATTGGAACTATCTATGCATGCAGCATTTGTTGAGAAAATGCAGACAAGCGGAGATCTCAATCTTATTGGGCAGTTTGGAGTTGGCTTTTACTCTGTGTATCTTGTGGCTGACTATGTTGAAGTCATTAGCAAACATAACGATGATAAGCAGTAAGCCTTATCTACACTTGATGTTGCTTTTTGAATCGCCATTCTCCAGAATTATTTATTGTTTTCTATACAATCCGCCCCAGCATACTGACTAGAAAATTATTCGACTTTCAGGTATGTGTGGGAATCTAAAGCTGATGGGGCATTTGCAATTTCGGAAGATACATGGAACGAACCACTAGGACGTGGAACTGAGATTAGGCTGCACCTCAGGGATGAGGCTGGGGAGTACTTGGAGGAGTTTAAGCTTAAAGTACGCACCAAACCATTGGCTTTATTATTATAAAATGTTTAGTGTTAAAATTATGCTTCTTTTAGTTTATTGCACATACGACTGCACTTTTGTGCATTAGACTAAATTTGCAACAGGTGATACTGCCTGTTTGCTTTGCTCACAATTAATCATAGAAGTGTATTCTAAGGGCAGAATTTATGTCATCTTGTGGCTTTCTGTACCTTTATGTTGCACTTTTGACCTGTTGCCACCCTTTAAATGGGTCCCTCGTTACTTTGTTTTGCCTTTAACAATTAGCAGTTATCTCTGTTGTTATTTTCCTTTAATGAGTTTTTTCTTCTTATTTTTCACTTATATTATCTCTTCTTAGCGATGTTTGAGGTTTCCTAGGCACTTAAGCTTTAGAATGTGTTGCTGAATCTGGCTCAATAACTATTTTTTTTTTATCACAGGAATTGGTGAAGAGATACTCTGAATTTATTAACTTCCCTATTTATCTTTGGGCAAGCAAAGAGGTTGATGTGGAGGTTCCTGCTGATGAAGATGAGTCTAGTGATGAGGGGGAATCATGTATGTATAATTTAAGAAATTGGTTGAGTGACCTTAACATATATAACCTGTTTTTCAAAGAAGATGTTGTTTTAGTTTTTTTCCATTCTAGTATATACTATTGCAATATATGCTGTCTCTCTTACCTTATTTAATTCCTTAATCAGCTGAAAGTAGCTCCGAGGAAGAAAGCGAGGAAGATGATGCTGAGAAAAGTGAAGATGAAGAGAAAAAGCCAAAAACAAAGACAGTGAAGGAAACAACTTATGAGTGGGAACTTTTGAATGATGTGAAAGCTATATGGCTGCGGAATCCAAAGGAGGTTACAGATGAAGAATACAACAAATTCTACCAATCTCTTGCCAAGGTATTGTTGCCATCTTCATTACTCATGGGATAAGGGTGTTGTATATTGACTCACTCTATCCTTTATTTATTTATTTATTTTAATTTCATAGAGTTGTGAATTTATCTGTCCTGCAGGATTTTAGTGATGAGAAACCTTTAGCATGGAGTCACTTTAATGCTGAAGGCGATGTTGAGTTCAAGGCAGTCCTTTTTGTGCCTCCTAAAGCTCCTCATGATTTATACGAGAGTTACTATAATGCAAACAAATCCAACCTGAAGTTGTATGTTAGACGAGTGTTTATTTCAGATGAATTTGATGAACTGTTGCCAAAATACCTCAACTTTTTGAAGGTAGCAATGAGTATGCTTTGTTTTGTAAGTTCGTTTTATGGGGATTAGAATATTTTTCCTTAACAATGCACCTTTTGTCATTGGGAACAGGGCCTTGTTGATTCTGACACATTGCCGCTTAATGTATCACGAGAAATGCTTCAACAATACAGTAGTCTAAAGACAATTAAGAAGAAACTTATTAGGAAAGCCCTTGATATGATCCGTAGGATTGCTGATGAGGATCCCGACGAGGCCACTGACAAAGACAAGAAAGGTATGATGGTGTAATAAAAATCTATTGGTTTTTTGTGTTGGAGTCTGAATCCCGTTTTGGTCTCCAATGTTTAGGAGAGAGATAGACACAAAAAAATGAAAATCATGGGAGAGAGAAAGTGGATGGTTTTTTTTAATTTAAAATTCAAATTTTCTGTGTCTGTATCTCTCTTAAAATGACATAACTTTCTGTCATTTAAAATGACAAACACCTTTTCCATTATTAGGCTTGCAGTGTGTCATGCAAAAGTTTTTGCATTGTCAGCTCTTTTCCCTTGTATTTGTGAGAGGAAACTAAATTCCATTCACTGACTTTGTACTTGTACCAATGTTAAACCTTGATGCAGAAGAGGTATTATCTGACAACGATGAGAAAAGAGGTCAATATGCTAAGTTCTGGAATGAGTTTGGGAAGTCCATTAAACTTGGTATTATTGAAGATGCTACTAACAGAAATCGTTTGGCAAAACTGCTCAGATTTGAGACGTATATTACCTGTTTCCTTGTAATTAAAATTCTTTTGCTTTAGTGTTACTTCTCTGGTTTCATTAGTTAACAGTTTAGTTGATATCTGAATGCTTACAGCACCAAGTCCGAGGGTAAATTGACATCTCTAGATCAGTACATCTCTAGAATGAAATCTGGACAGAAGGATATCTTTTACATAACTGGAACCAGCAAAGAACAATTGGAAAAATCCCCATTTCTTGAGCGGCTTAAGAAGAAAAATTATGAGGTGTGATTTTTATGTGGAGTCTCTTTGTTCCAAAAAGTTTATTATATACTCTCCATATTTAGAGTACATGTATTGCGCTGAGAGACGAATCTTCTAAATGTCAATTTTTTTATAATGTTTGAACTTCTGCAGGTTATATTCTTCACAGATCCAGTTGATGAATACTTGATGCAATACCTGATGGATTATGAAGACAAAAAGTTCCAAAATGTATCTAAGGAAGGTCTGAAACTCGGGAAGGATTCAAAAGACAAGGAACTGAAGGAATCCTTCAAGGATCTTACCAAGTGGTGGAAAAAAGCCCTTTCCAGCGAGAATGTTGATGATGTGAAGATATCTAGCCGTTTGGATAACACTCCTTGTGTTGTGGTGACATCAAAATATGGCTGGAGTGCTAATATGGAGAGAATAATGCAGTCTCAAACTTTGTCAGATGCTAAAAAGCAAGCATACATGCGTGGCAAGAGGGTTCTTGAAGTCAATCCTAGGCACCCTATCATTAAGGAGCTCCGGCAGCGAGTTATAAAGAACCCTGAGGTACATTCTAGATTTGAATTTTTCCGTTAACTTTTAATTTGTAGAAATTGAGATAATAACATTAGAAAAATACTGTTTCTTTGTTATGGTATGTTGCTACCATGTTGATTTGTGTGTCGGGTGAAACTAAGACCTTGCATGTTATAATTATGAATACTTTGGGAACTGGGACATTTTATGCTTGCTTAAGGCCTTGTTGAAGGCTTGGTGCATGTCCTATAACATCCCTTCCCCCTAAGCTTTTTCTGTAACAAAAAAATAAATAAAAAAATCATACATTTTATATTCTCCAATCACCTCTTCCCCACAAACAGAATTAAGGTTTATTTTGACACAATTGGCTTAATTTTCAGGATGAGAGTGTGAAGCAAACAGCACAGCTGGTGTATCAGACTGCTCTATTTCAAAGTGGTTTCCTTCTAGATGACCCCAAGGATTTTGCTTCTCGTATTTATGACTCGGTGAAGACTAGCTTGGACATTAGTCCTGAAGCAGCTGTTGAAGAGGAAGATGACTCCGAAGAAGTTGAGTCCGAAAGTGATGTAAAAGAAGCTGCGTCTACTCCTACTGCCGAAGCTGATGCTGGTAATGATGATGCTGATGCGAAGGACGAGTTGTAGATTTGCGAGAGGGACACTCCTTAATAAGTTACTCCGCTTCCCCTTTCCTGTGTTGCTCATTTTGAGATAGATGGGAAATGCCCTCTAAGCATGAGTTTTGATTCAATATAAGTCAGTCTGATAAAGTAGAGCACATTAGTCGTAACTTACTGTAATTATACTATACCATCGAATTTTGTCTTAGCATTTAGTGTATTGTTGAAGAAAATATGCTGGAACATGTCCTTTCATTTGTAATGACCAGAAACGTTGTTGGTCCTTTTACGCCCGGATAGGTTGGCGGTGGCCGAGTGTTCAAGGCTTGTGATAATGATTCAAATGAGAAGGAGGCTACCATTCTCGTAATTTGAATCCTTCCATAATTTTTTCATATTCGGATAAAATTTTAGCTCACAAAAAGGTATCAAGGCGATGCGGAACTTCTGCCATGGGTAATTCAACTAGTGATAGAATTGAGGAGGCGTTTGGTTGGAGGTTTATTGTAGGATGGTTGGAAACTGAATTTTTTTAAATTTTAAATTTTCAGATATTATCGTAAATTGAACGTGAAAATCATATTTTTGAAAATCAAAATTCCCGGACAATTTTTTTTTTCCTCTACCAAAAGTACATAAGACTTAGTCTATTTATCTTAACATGGGTACTTCTTTTTGATTTGCTCTTTAAAAATTAACCTCGCTTAAGATTTTATTAAAATACTTGTTTTATAATAAGGTATTTAAATAAGTCAATATACTTATCTCTGAATAAATTAATAGGAGTAAGTTTTTGTGCAGACTAGCATTTATGTCTTTAAATAGATCAGTAACATAATAATTTTAAATTATTGTAATAATAAAATTAATAATAATTCATTTATATTTATTTAAAGTGCTTAATATTTCTCATGTTACAGAAGATAATTTTATCTCTTACACACACATAAAAGTGTGCAGGACCCATGTGAAAAAAAGAAAGAGAAAAAAAAATGCGACTCACACTTTGATATGTCTGTAGGAGATAAAATTATCTCCTACAATATGATAAACACCAAATAGGTCGATCCATCATTTCAAAAAAAATTATTAAAGATTTCTTACAAGGTCTTTTTAATTAAACACGAAAAAAAATATTTGTGATTTTAAACCATAGAATTTTGTGTAAACTACTGTGTTTTGCTATATATTTATTAGTTTTTTACATTTTCTTCCATAATATGTCTTTCTCTCTTCTTCAAATTTTATAGAGAATAAAAAATGTAAAAAGAGAAACGTTTTTCGCTTAAATAAATTCTTAAAAAAGTCTCAGCCATTGCGTCTGACTTGATAGTTTTCATAGTTTCAACTTTCAACTTTCAACTTTCAACTTTCAAGTGAGTTTTATGAACCTAGATTTGAATAGTTGAATCCTTTTAATACGAATTTTATAGGTCATAGTCATACAAGGAACGGTAAATACAATTTTGTGCAGGATGAAATTTGTAAAAAATAAAAAATTGTGGAGCCTTTTACGGAAAAGAAAAATTATGAAGCCTTGTACTGGAATATAATGCTTCTCTCTATTAAGTTTGTATCCAATATTATTATGTTTAATTATTATTTTAGATAAATAAGTTTATAAAATATATTTTAAATAAAAGATTCTAATTAAAAACAAATAGAATGTTGAAAATTAATTATAATTTTGTTATATATTATTTCATTTAATAATTTTTTCTTATCAACACTCTCACCTTTTACATTTAGTGATGTTATTAATTACTGCTAATAATAATAATTAATAAACACAACAACATACCATTATAATTATGTGGATTTAGTAATATTAGTAATTACTTCTCAAAATAATTTTATAAATATATAAAGGGAATATAGTTTCTTATGTTGCATACACACAAAAATGGATGAGACCCACCAAGGAAAAACTATATTCCCATATATAAATTGCTAAAAAAAATTTCACATGGGATTCAAATCCATGACAAAATCATTTGTAAGTTTGGTTTATCTATCAGAGTTTGAACTTTGAATATTAAAATTATTATTGAAGGATACATACACATTGGATATATATATATTTTATGTTACAAAAGATAAAATTATTTTTTACACATACATAAAAATGTACGTGGTCTATTTTTTTTTCTTCTCTTCATATGGTCCAACATATTTTTATGTATGTGTAGAAGATAATTTTATTTCCTTCAACAACATGGAAAATATTAAATCATATGTATATATATAATGCATTAATTTAATTTCTTTAATTGAAGTTTTTTTTTTCTTTTTGACCCCTATAAGAATCTTCTGATTCTGCCCATGTAATAATGTTCTTTTAGGCAGTGGTATATAATAAATCGTTAATTCTTAATTTGGCACTAATTACAAGATTGCTAGAAAACATTACAACTAGAAAAATTGTTCGCAGAGGGTCAGGATGGCCGAGTGGTCTAAGGCGCCAGACTCAAGTTCTGGTCCTCGTGAGAGGGCGTGGGTTCAAATCCCACTTCTGACAATTTTTATTTTGGAGTTTTATTTCATCTTTTCTTAAATTTATATCCAACTGCAAATCACACAAGCCAAAATCCAAATATCCGAGGCCTTGTAAAATTATTATTTTGAATAATGAAGCAAATGTTATTGGAGGCCTGTATATCTCCATAAGCCCAAATCACCGAGGCCTTTGGCCTTATGAAGGCAACATTAATGAAATGCACTGCAGTCGTTTTAATCTTCATTCATCTTACACAATGCAATTCCTCTTTCTCTGTTGATAGTAGTATACTAGTATTTATATTTGGGATTACTCTGGTCTTGTAACTATATATTCTGATTTCTGAACGTGACAAGAAACTCATTATGATGTGGGAATGGGGATCCATCCCTCAAAAGTTTGTTTCATTAGTTTGACAAAATCATATTAAAATTAGACTAATTAATGGGCTTTCGTGAAGTAGACTGTCGAGAACACAAAACTTTTCATTTCAACAGCGACAAAAATTTATTGAAAGGCGTGTTGCCTCGTAACCCATAAAAAATAATACCGGATTGAGTCGGTGAAAATGAGCTGCGAATCTGAGCCAGTTTCGAAAGAGAGAGCCTAACCCGCGGGTCAAACAGACCAGCTCGCGAATTATTATTTTTTATATAAAAGAATACAAAATATAATATACAAAAATGTACAAAATCCACACACGCTGTCATCATCTTTTTTTCTTCTCTAAATCTAAGTCCATAATCTATTCACATCGCTGCTATTTTATATTGATAGGCTGTGCTGGCTTTGTTTGGTTCAAATATCTTATCCACTTGGTAGCAAGTGATTTTGATTGTTTCTCGATGTTAATGCAAATTTGTTGGGAAGAAAATTCGATACTAGAACATTTTACTTTTACTTTTCATTCTGTAACTTTCTATTTTGCTTTTTTTATAAACTATTATGTAAGACAATTGAATTGTTTAAGTTGATGGAAGTCGCATAACTAGTGCATTAATACTTCAGGTTCATTTAAATAAGCTGAAAATGAGCCAACCCACGAGTCAATTTTTGAGCCAACCCTAACCCGACTCATTTTTTTTTCAGGTTGCATGCAGGTTGGGCCGTTTTGCCAACCCTAGTCTCAATAATCACATATTAAAAAATAATATAAATTATTAAAAAAGCTTTCGTCCAATTGTTTAAATTTTTGGATTGAATTGATTTTTTATAATTTTCGCCCATGATATCTACTTTAAGAGTCCTTTTGGATGAGTGTTTTTTTTATTGAAAAGCTATTTTTTTATGTATAAAAAAAAGCAATTCCTAAAAAAAGTTTATTTGAATGGTACTTTAAAAAAAACATAAGTCGTAAAAAAGTCAAAAAATTTACTTTTTCTTTAAGTTAAAAATTTTAGCTTCTTAAAAAAAAAAAGTCAAAAGCCAAATGAAAAAAACCAAATATTTTTTTTTTTGAAATCTAAATAACTTTATCTTTACATGGTTTTTTTTTTGGGAAATTATCATACACGGTTTTTAATATGTTTAAAAGTAGCATTTTTAGTGAAAATATTTCTAAAAATGTCATTTAAAAAAATATAATCACATATCTCGAAAAAGTGCTTCCGTATGCACATATAATTACCACATAGCCACCCTCGTTTCCCACCATCTATTGAGACCCATATTGAAACTGAATGACAAGAAACAAGGAATGGACCTGGCCCAATTATACTGATAAGATAAGATATTACCAAAGGGACCCACCCAGCTCATAGCCTCATACGACTCATACCTAGAAAAATGCCAATGCAATAGCCAATAGGTATTGTCTGATGTCTGAACACTGAATTGTTGAGAATCTTGAGATTGTTCAGGGAAGTAGTGGCATGAATGACTACGCCACCACGCCGATGACGAAAGCTGCCAAGAGTATATAGTGTACATTACACAAACACTATCTGATTAATAATAAAGTGATTTTCCTATGTCCAGAGGACAATAATCAAAGTGTCACTATTTTATAAATTTTTTATTCAAATATTATGTGAAAAATTACGGTCAATATTTGCGTACCAAATTTGTTATTACTAATAGCAAACTTTATCTAGTTATTTTTATTATAAAAATATATCACATGTTACAAAATTATTGGTGAACGTAATTCGCTATCAGTCATAACGAATAACGAATAACGAATTACATTGCATAACTGGTAAAAAATAGTATTCGCATACACATAAACATTTTGATGATGTTGCTATCTCTATAACTAAGGTATTGTCTGAAATGAAAATTCAGTTGAGCCACTCAGCTGCAACCATTGACCCCTTAATGTACAAAATAATAACGATATGATCGATGAACAGAAGCAACAATTTCATCTTCTGCGTCAGTATTTGGCTTTATAATTTTTTTATTTTTTCTTTATGAAGAGTCCCGCAGGGCTGAGTTGCATATGTGAATGGGGAAGTGCCTTCCAACAAGATATATATTAGGAAACTCATAAAATAGTTAAGATAACCAGTAAACTTCAACTACTCATAAATCATAATTGAGCATGCCAAAAGTCAAGACTCGCTTTACAAAAACTCATTTAATTATATGATGACTTGAAGGCTTACTACTGTAGGATATAATAACAAAAAACAATTACTGAAGTAATCAAAAGTCTAAACGTAAATCCAAATTGGAAATGCTAAGTGCATCTAAACAATATGAAAGATGGTGCTGTATTTTTACTACAACAAAAAAGGATAATATATATTAATTATGAGATCTATTCATTTCATGTAACAGAGACAAGATAGTAAGGTCCACTATTTTTTTTTTAATTTTAAAAAAAATAATGGACTTCACTGTCTTATCTGTTGCATGAGATAATTATATCATACAAGATGAGATAAATAGATCTCATTAATTATATAACGCCTGCAATATGTCTTTCTATATTGCCAACCCAATTCGAGTTTTTCTCCATTACCACTGACATTAGGCGTAGATTTTCAACGATAAATAAGTAATTTCGTTGTCCCTAATAAAGTGGACATATAAAATGGAGGATAAGATCTCGAAATACTACCAACCAAAAGACACTGAATGAGTGATCCAAAAAATAGCGATACTAGAATCAAATAATCTTTCAGATTCGAGATTAATAAACGCTTGGTTGCTATAGACGATTGCAAGATAACACCACTTACTGCCAAACCACCAAAGACGGAGGCGCATTTCACTTTTTATAGATTTAAAGCTATTGCCACAATTAGAATGGTCCCTGAAGGACACGTAGATACGTAAAAAAAAAAAAAAACGTGAAATGCAAAAAAAGAAAAAGGAAAAAGAAGAAGTTTATGATTGGATAGTCTAACTGTTGCTTATAAATAATTAGAGAGGAAACAGGGAGAGTGACCATTTTGTCACACCTTGTAAACAGTAAATTTTGTCAAAATGCCACGCGATATATTTTGCTACACAGTGTAGCGAAATATGCCATGTCAGGCTGCTCAGTCAGCAAAAATGACACGTGTTAAGCAGGTAGAAATTCGCTACACTGTGTAGCGAATTATGCTTGAATTCTGCCTGCTTGACACATGTCATTTTTGCTGACTGTGCAGTCTGACATGGCATATTTCGCTACACTGTGTAGCGAATTATATGCAAACATATTTCGCTACACAGTGTAACGAAATATACCGCATGATATTTTGACAAAATTAACTGTTGGCGTGACATTCCGGTAAATTTTTTGCCAAGCATGACAAAATGGTCACTGTTCCGAGGAAACATATCCATGGCTATCTGGCCGTACTAGTCGAGCTATATAATGCATGCGCTAACCAAAAAGAGAGAGATAATTAAAATAAGATCCAAAAATTCTTTTTAAATTGTTAATATCCTTAGAATTGCTCTTCAATGGCATCCTCTCAAACATTTTAGATACGAGCTTATTTTATCTTATCAAATTTCACACTTTTTTTGTATTTTTATGCTCGTTGAACTTAGCTTTATATACTTCACATTATTCTCTCGAAATTTGTGCCCTTAAAAATACTCTTTATAATATTATGCTAGATTAAAGACAGAAGACAGTAAGATACTAAAATACGAGTCCATTTGCTTTTGTGGTCTCTTGTACTCAAGTCTTACATTCCAGGAGTAACAAATGAATCACATCGCCCACAAGACAAAGAATTCTTCTCTAGTGTCCCTATTAATCTAAACGAGAAAAAAATATTTAATTGCACCCACTGCCTTCCCTCCATATGGTAGTAATTTGATTTCAGAGGTTTTCACACTTGGACGAAAATAACCTTAGCTTTTAAGGTCGATACTGCTCGCGCGGAATCGGGGACCAAAGTTGAAACTCACAAGGTGATGATGTACTTCAATAGCAGATGAACTTTCCCTATAAATGGAACAAAACTAGGATTCGTAAGGGAGGTTCTATGCAATTTTTTTGAACTCAAAAATCCGCCTACACATGTTAATAATAAAAATGAAGAATTAGGATGCAATGAATTGTCATGGTAGATTTTTCCCTATAAATGACTAGGATGCTTGAACCTATGGGTCCTACTAACTCACGTGGCACATGCGAGCCTCAAGAGTTACACAAGTGATATAGAGGGCCCCACCATGTTTTTAGGCGTAAAAACGTGGCTCGTGGCACAACAGCCAAATAGCCATAGTGATGCTGACAATGAAGGCAATGGCTTGGGATTTCCACACATGGGTACACGTGGCCCATGATATTTCCCCTTGATCCAGGGCACCTACGTACACCATTGTGCCGTTGTTCAGCTGCGGCGAGGTAGAAGAACCACTGCTATCTGAATTCGGGTTTTGCCCCTGCGACGATTTCTGACTGCAATAACAACAAGAGTAACAATAACAATTAAGAAAAGCATGAATTTGGAAACATTGTTTCCAACGAGACAAAAAATGAAAATAGGAAACGGATACCGAACGCTACGAACTAGTTTCTATTTATTAACTAAATAAAATAGTGCTGCCTCATTTGCAAGTTTCGCCTAAAAATGAGTGAACCCCATGTGCAGTGATTAGTTCTATACCCCTGCGCTAACTTCAACTTCGATGGTATTGAGATTCGGTAATGTATCTATTTTTCCTCGTCTTCCTTCAAAATATGGTCCCCCTTCCTCGGAAACCACATGTGGAATTCTGAATTAGAATATACATTATGAAAATCGCTTTTCCCCTTAGTAATTGCGTACATTGCCTGCAAAAATTTGGCTGACATGCACTTTTCATATAATGACTTATCTTAATTTCTCTCTTCATTAATATTCAGATACTGATTGATAAAAAAAACTGGGAAAAGTATTTTTCAGGTTAATGGAAATAAAGTTATCTTCAGTGAGCTCGAAACGATGTCGTTTTGATATTATAAGATTAAAAAATTATAACGCTAAAGACTAATATAATCCTCCAATATATTATAATTACAAAAACACATTAATTCCTGCCTTAAAACGATGTCGTTTTGAGTTTACCGTAACTTATTTTCATGCGAAGAAATCATTTACTCTATTTAATATCTATACAAAAAAATACACACAAAATTTTCACATTACTTTAGCGTGCAAAATTTCACATAAAATATGTCCATTCCCATTTTCTGGTAAAGACAGGAAGCTCAACTTTGACTTTCACCAAAGAATTGAAATATCAATTATCTCGGATGGACAATGATATCGGATCACAATTTTTTAGAGCAAGTTTACATTTACTTTATAATAATTGATTTTATTTTTAAAAAAAAGATAAAACAGAGGGGTAACGTATTCCTCTGCATCACGTAAATAATACGAGTTTAGGAATTATATTGCCGAACCTACCACTTGCATTTACTGGAACGCCCATACATAATGTCATCACAACACAACAAAAGTGATCCCACCTCAGCCAACGTTCATATTTTAATATTGCATAGACAAAATTACCCTTTAAGTTTTAGCCGTTAGAGTGAAACGCGATTACCGATGAAGTAAAGAGTGATTCATGAATCTAACCTTGGGTTACTGTCATGGGAAGGACAAAAAGTGATTGTATAATCCGCAGCAGATCCACATGTAAAAGTGCTCGTCTTATCGTCGTACGCGTAGCTATAGGCGCGTGGGCAAGCATTCTTGAATATCTGAGAGTAAGCAGAAGGCTTGCAACTGTTCGGCGAACCATACGCGCCGCTGCAACAATACTGCGGCGACCCGAACGCCTCGCACGCGCTTTTGCACGCTACGCTTTGTTTTCCATCCACGCTCGCAACCTTAAGCTCTGAAGGGCACGCGCCGTTCAGGTCCTCAACGCAACCCGTGCTGGTGCAGTTGTCGCCGGAGCCACCTTGGGGAACCACCAGCATAGGGAGGTTGTAGCCATCAACCAAGCTGACGTCGAAGAAATCAAGGCCACCGGAGCCGTCAAGAGTGAACTCGGCTAAGGTGGCTGGCGGCGTGGCTCCGCTGCCGGCGCATTCGATCTTTCCGGAGCCACAATCACCTGTGGCGCAGGAGAACTTTCCGGTGGTGTCTTGGGTGCAGAGTGTGCGGCCCCAAAAACGGCCTCCCCAAGAGGTGGGTGTGGTTATGGCTTTGGACTCACCGGTTTGCAGAGCGAAACCGGTGGTTGAAAGAGGAGCAACTCCTGCGTTGGAAAGAATGCCTGGCCACACTGTGTAGTCGCATTTGTTAACAAGTGTAAACGTTGTTGATAAGACCCCTGCATAAGATGAAAATTACTACTTAAACATCAGCGGAATTTCATTTTCGTTAATTTCTTTGATGGCTCTTGTAATTTATATTATACTATATAGTAATATAATTAATTACCTGATGCTGACAGATGAAGTGTTAGTAATAATGAAAATAATAGCGTGAGCTGATCCATATGAAAGCCTACTTAGTTAAGAGATTAGATACTTTAAAAATAAAATAATAGAAATGAGAAGAAGGAGAAGGTGAAGGTAGAGAATCTAGTAATCCGAATACTTCTTCTCGTGCAATTAGGGACAAGAGATGTGGGCGTTGGCTCGATGGGTATTTATAGGCAGCAAATATTGCTATAATGTATGGGAATTACAAGTTTAGAAGAGCAGCATCCATATGGGCCCATTTCATCTGGGATCACCAATGTAATAAGCCTGGCGAAGCTCAAACCCCAAGGGAAAAAGTAACGTTATGTTATAAATAATACAGTAGTTGGATATTCATGATTCCAAAAGAGTCAACCCCAAATTGTAACTCTTTAAAATAAGTAATTTTCATCATTTATAGTATTACTTAATTAAAAACTGTATTTTATTGTAAAATTTGACTCTTGTAATTATTACTTCAGAGTATTAACTTTTTTTTTTTTTTTTTTTTTGAAAACTGATTCTAATTACAGTATTAACTATTGAGTAGTGACACTAAAATGTTTACATGCACACCCAAAATTAATGTTTTTATTATTTGGAGGTTATTTTTATCATTTTCAAAGAATATTATCGTTTTCCCCTTTAAGAGTATTGTTATTTTAAAAAATTATTTAAAGAATTATAAGGTAAGCGTAAACTGCAATTTTTGTTCTCTCTTGTCACTTTGTCTTATAAACAGATTTTTGACATCAATATAAAATTTATAAAAATGACATCGGGGTTATCTTTAAAGGGTGTTTGGTACACGTCATTTTAAAGGATTCTCGGAAAATTGAATTTTTTTAAATTTTTAATTTTCGGATATTATCGTAAATCGAATATTTTCATCATATTTTTAAAAATCAAAATTTCAGATAAAAAAAAAATTCTCTTCTACCAAAGCTCCCATAAGAGTATCAATTGCCAATCTAAGGTAGTAGGTTGATTGTATTCTTTTATCATTAAGAAATAAATGAAGATTTGTTATGTATTGGCCTATTAGGTACGTACAATCTGGAGGTCAAATACATTTATCTCCGAAGTAAGATAAATATTCTCTCATCGCATTTGATCTTCCTCAAACTGGCACTTACACACCTAATTAGATTCAAATATGAAATATGCATCACACAATGGAATTTTCTTTCCCATAAATACCTCACTCTTCCGTTGAGATTGAGGAGTCACTTTTTGCTCACTATTCTTGTTGTTGTTACTTTGTTGAATTACATCCTCATAGAATAATCGTGCCCTTCACTTTTATCTTAGATTTACAATTACTGTTTATTCACTATTCTCCATCTGATCTCTGATTCTCAGTTATTGCATGAGATTTATATAATAACTCAATTGTTGAACTCTAGTTCATACTGTTACCTTATTGATTCATTGCTATATCGACGTACAATAGCCTCTAAGGAAAAGAGATCTAACCCCAAGCTCTGAAACATATCAAGGTCAATTTTATATATTTAAAGAATTAAAGAAATGATATTTTTTATAATTAAATGAACGAATTGTTCTTAACTTTTTTAAAATATCTAATTAGAGATTAAATTGATGTTAAATTTTTCCGAACAATCAAAATAGTGTCACTTGTATGTTTGAAGTAACTAAGATGGATGTTTACTCAAAATATAATAGACTGTCACAATTATAAATAATATTTAGAATATTTATTTTAATAATTAAATTACTGTCCAGTGTTTTTTAGCCAAAAATATATCTATTCAGATTAAAAATAGAAACTAACAAAGTAACAAATATAATTAAAAATCTCTTACCCGCAACCGCGAACAATGATCATATACACGACCATGCAAAGTTAGCCATGCAATTCAACACTGTATTTTTTTTTTTTTATATATATAAAAGTTGGAATTGAACACTCAATTTATTATAACATATTCAATCTCCTAGAAACCTTATTTCACATCTGCGCCATCAAAGAGGTAAATGATAAAATCATGATGTTCCTTATACATTCAAATCAACAATAGTCTCATACGCTTCCGCAGATGCAATTTCCCTTACAATTGGTATCAGAGCATGATTGTGTTTTTTAATGTGGATCTAGTTTTATTTTACATTTATCATGTAATTTGTTTTGCTTCGTAAAATATGGCACCTAGGGTTCTATATTTGTTATTCAAATATTTGCATGAGTATCATTATAATTCTTTTTATTAAATATCTATTCTTTATATGGTTTTGACTTTAATCCATGGTAGAAATTTTCTTGGGTTGTAACAAGGAGGCTAATCCCATATGATTAGGTTTCCTCCTTGAATTTTATTTCAAATTTGTATCTTTTTTAATTTGTATTCCAAAATTGTAATAAAAAAAGATCAAGAAGATAAAAGCGCGTTCGTCACTGTTTTGACATTTTCGTGATGAATACTACCTTCGATCGAAAATCCGAGACCGTAGAAAGATTCAGAACGAAAAATCGAGTCAAACGAAAGTTGAATCGCAGAAAACAGAGGCCGGACGCTCCCTCACTCTTCACCGGAAGTATCTTTGGTAGAGCATGCTCAAATTTTGGTCTCTAGTGAAAATTTCTATCCTTAATGGCAAGGGTCATCAATAAAGAATAAAGAAATATATAAAATCTAAAATCTCTCAGAGAGTGGGCATCACTCTCCTGGAAAGAATAGGTGCGTGGGAGAGCGTGCCAGCTTCGTTTGGGGCGATTCCGGTGATCGTGGCTTCGTCTCATCAAGACGGTCCTTTCTATAAAATTTCGTATCAATCGGACATCATACGAAGGTGCAACAGTCGTGACGGCTAGGGTTCCTGAAAATTGACTTAAGGTTTCTCGTCAAAATTTGGTGTTTTGGGCCTTTGGGCTCATAGTTACCATAAAGAGGCTTGAAACAGAACCTATGGACTATAAGGAAAGGAGCAAATTAGCCGCAATGTTTCCTATTTGATTACTCTGTAATTTTATTTTTTTAGAAAACCATGGATTAAAGTTTTTATTATAATTAACTGCCTTAATTGTATGATTGAATGAATTATATGATTGATAACATGTTTTACTTCGATAACATGCCATATAGAATAGTTGGTGCCATATTGTTGCATAACTTGTACGATTACATGTGCATAGTAGCTATTATGTCTTCAGCGACTATTATGATAGTTATTATGTGATTATTTTGATTTTATATTATCTTGAAAAATTGATTAATAATTATTATGATTTTTGTTAAAAATCTAGATTAATAATTGAATTAATTAATTTTGATAATTTAACATCAAGACAAATAATCGTTATAGTAATTATTTTGATTTAAAATTATCCTCATAAATTATAATTATTAAGATTTGTTGAAATCTAGATTAATAATTAAATCGGTTATTTGGATGATTTAAAGCTAAAAAAATAATTTTGAAATATGTACATAACAAAGGAGTGTCCGGCCTCCGTTTTTCGCGATTCAACTTTCAGATACTTTCGGTGGAGAGTGAAGGAGTGTCCTACCTTCGTTTTTCGCGATTCAACTTTCAGATACTTTCAGTGGAGAGTGAAGGAGTGTCCTACCTCCGTTTTTCGCGATTCAACTTTCGTTTGACTCGATTTTTCGTTCTGAATCTTTCTACGGTCTTGGATTTTCAATCGGAGGTCGTATTCATCACGAACTTGTACAAAATAGCCATGAATGTCTTTTTTGGCATCTTCTTGGTCTTCTTTCATTACAATTTTTTTAATACAACGAAAATATATACAAAACTGAAATAAAAAATCAAGGAGGAACCTAATCATAAGGGATTAGCCTCCTTGTTAAAACCCAAGAAAATACAACTAAATCCCTACCATGGATTAAAGCCAAAAATCATATAAAGAATAGATTTTTAATGAAAAGAATACTCATGCAAATATTTGAATATCAAAAATAGAATCCTAGATGCCATATTTTACGAAGCAAAACAAATTACATGATAAATGTAAAACAAAACTAGACCCACTTCCAAAAACACAATCATGCTCTGATACCAATTGTAGGAGCAATTGCATCATGCGGAAGCGTTAAGACCATTGTGATTTGGATGTATAAGAATCATCATGGTTTTATCAATTACCTCTTTGAAGACGCAGATGTGAGATGATGATATTGCACACACAAACTGTTGTGGTAAACCTTTCAAACTATCTCTCGAGGAGGAAAATAAAATGTGTGGGCACTATTCAGATCTAAGCTTGCCTCTTTCTCTCAAATGACCTAGGAGGCTGATACTTAAGTGGTAGTATTTATATGTGTTCAAAAAAATCCTAGCTCTAAGCTCATTGGGCTTCTAGGTTTCTTAGCTCTTCTCGTACTAATAGCCAATTGGGCTTTAGTAAAAAAACACAAACCCAACACTTTAACACTGTATTAAAACAGTTAGGTAAATTACTATATTAAAAACAATCAAACCAATAAGCAGGTAAGAAAAAGAAATTCAACTATTTTTAGTTTTGAAAAATTCAACTGCTCTACGAATACCAATGTTTAAATTGGAAGGAGGCAAGAAAATAAGGATAGTGTGCCAAAACCATGAAGCTTAGAGCTTCCCAAACTCAGCAGGTACAAACGAAGTTGCTGTTACAAGGTTTTGTTTTGTATGTTTGTTTTTTTGGATAACTACAAGGGTTTGATTTAGTTGTGAGGAAGAGGGCAAAGGTTCTGATCAAGGGATCACCCTATGTCAGTGGGCTTTCTTGAGCCGGATTCAATGCCCGAACCCGATGTTGTTCTCTGTCCCAATTCTGTACCTTAACTTTTGTTAGATCAAGAATCTATATCCCAACTCTAAGGAACCTCCCATTGTATAATTCGTTAGAATAGCAAGATCTTTTTTTTTTTTTTTTTTTTTTTTTTGATAATCACAAGATCTTTTATTAATAAGTAATGGGAATGGTTACCTTTACAATTTTTTTATTTATAATCTCAATTATGTATTTTAAGAAATACACTTTCAAATATATATACTCTTCAGAATACAAAACTGAGATTATAAGAGTTGTAAATAAAAAAAAAAATAGAAACATAACTGACGCATAAGTGATAAGTAATTTAATTGTAATTTTTTTTAAATTAATAATTTATCTTAACCTTATAATAAGACAGTCTCGTATATAATTTGGCCCTCCTTATATATAATTTTTTTCATTTGACCCCTTAGCCAATCTCACCCATCTCCATCTTTAGGGTAGACATTATAATGTAATGTCATTATCATATCTGCAAGAAAAATTTCAATGATAAAATTGATGTCAAAGTAAGGTTCAGTGTTTCATGTTTGAAAAACTAGTCACTACACTGCACAATTTTGACTCTGTTCCTAACAATTGTGATGTCACATCATGTCATATCTGCGAGAAAAATAATGATGAGATTGATGTCAAAGTAAGGTAAAGTGCTTTCATATTTGAGAAACTGGCTGTGTGACTTGAACTATTAATTGGGCCGTGCAGATATATGATTTTTAATACACTGCATGTCTTCATGATTTTGGCTCTCTCCGACGGACGGAAATATTTAATATGTTCCATGACTACTTAATGATTTGGTGTTCCCTCTCACAACACTAATCTTTTCTTTCTCATTTTATTTATGCTATTTTTTTTCTTTTTTCAATTTTACCCTTCCATTTACCCTTTCTGACCCATCATTGTTCATTAGAGCCGGTACCCAGACCTGCATCTATATCAGTTCGTGTAGATGACATTTTGGTGACAGGAAGCTCTCTAAGTTCATCCGAAATCCGATTATTTTCTGCTTTTAAACAATCAATTTGCACTCGAAGACCTTAGTGATCTTCAAAGTAAAAATGCACCAGGCCAAGGCTATCAACACTCCTTCTCCTCTGAGTTCAGGTGTCAAGCTATCCAAACATGGACCAAGCCAGATGACTGATCCGCAATTGTTGTTGAGATATATAGTCTCACATTGGTTGTATGTGCAACTAATGTGGAGTTTATAAGGTCTTGGGCACTCTCACCCTTTGAGCTAGTTTTTGGGTGGTGTATCTCAAGATTCTTTACATGGTATCAGAGTCTCGCCGCCCCCCACTTTCTCTCGTGGAATTTCTTAGCACAGGTAGGATGGGCCTGTTGCATTATCCACTCTTCAAGCCCAATGGGCTCTCGTGTGAGGAGGCGTGTTGAGATATATAGTCCCACATTGGTTGTATGTGCAACTAATGTGGAGTTTATAAGGTCTTGGGCACTCTCACCCTTTGAGCTAGCTTTTGGGGTGGTGTATCTCAAGATTCTTTACAATTGTATCCATCAATTGTAGTAGGTGCATTTCTATATGCTACGTAGACCGTATCAGAAATCTCTTTTAGTGTCAATGAAATGAGGCAATTCATGCAGCAGCCACTCAAGGTGTACTTGAAAGCTGTGAAACTATGTTGCACTTATATTTTAAGTGTCAATGAAATGAGGCAATTCATGCAGCAGCCACTCAAGGTATACTTGAAAGCTGTGAAACTATGTTGCACTTATATTTTAAAAAACTTGAAATATCGTGTCCGACTTTCTTTGACACCCAGACACTTTCCAACATTCTAATACGTTTCGACATCTATAATATTTGAAATTTTATTACATATTATGAAAAAAATTAATCAACATTTTACCAAATTGATATAATAAAAATTAAAAATGAATACTAAATATATCTCATTAGAAAATATAAGAGATTTTCAATTTAAAAATATAATAATAAATATTTACATGTTATGTTTCTTTGTAAAATTAATGGATATTATAAATTTAATTTTTTTGTTGTTAAATTATTAAATATAATATAATATATTCTACGTAAATTAAAAATGTTATTTAATATTAAAATATATATTAATGTATCGAAATTTAATATTTTTTAAAATTAAATATATCAAAATATTGAGTCATATCATATTCAGTGTTAGGGTTGGTAGTTCTGTACTTCTGTCAAGGAATATTGGTGGTACATTAACTACTAGTTTTCATTTTTCTGCTCCAGTATTTCCTGGGTTCCAATCCACTACTTAAGCGGAATATAGTTATCTAACAAACACTGATGCTGAACTAACATGGCTTTAATCACTTCTGACATAATTGCATATTCCACCCCCACAGCCTGTGATCTTCTCTGACAATCTCAATGCATTGATGTTGTCCTACAATCCTATGTTACAAGCTTAAACCAAACACGTGGAATTGGATTTGTGTTTTGTTCAAGAGTGATTGTCCTACAATCCTATTTAATGAATTTTTAAGTTAAATTTTAATTTTGAATAATTCTAAACATTCAAATAAAATGAAAGAAAATCACTAGTTAATCTTATTTCCTTTTATTCCCCCTCCCTTAACTTCTTGTCTTATGCTCCTTTCCCAACTTTTAACATGTATAATAACTTTCAACGGTGTTCAAGCTAACGAGATCATCAAGCGGAGTTCAAAGTTTTGAAGAACTGGTTTATATATATAGTTTTTATTTTCTAATGTTACATGATGTGATTCAATTATTTATAAACTCACAATTATTATTTTTAAAAAAATTACATGTAAATTAAAGAATTATAACATGAGAAAACTTATATAACATGAGAACTATTTTGCATATATATATTTCGAAACCGACTTGAGGCTTCCGGTGAAGGCAAAGGTTCACCGAAATTATTGATGCGGCCGGTGGGAAAAGACTTCAAAGGGCTTCGAATAAATAAAGTAGTAAAATGAGCTGGAAATTCGAGCTGAGAGCGATTGGGCAATGCGAAGACAAATTAAATGTGTACATCAACGAATTTGAAGATGAAGTAATTTGAGTATTGGTTGAAACTTAAAAGCAATGCCATATTTTACATAAAAATAATAATTAATAATAAAATCACTATCCTCATAACTCCATCTCCCTTACCCTCATCTCAATTATGAAAAATGTAGTGCCCGTTGAGACTCCCACAAATAAGTAAATAAAAGAAAATATTATCTTCTTATTACATAAGATAATTTCTCTCATGTTTTTTCATTTCGATTTTCGTATCCATTTTTTTTTCTTATAATAACGAGACCTATCCATTTTTTCTCTACAACGTAAAATAACTATCTTATGTGAAAGAAGACTAATAAAACCCATAAATAAAATTCGTTAAGCTTAACAAATGAGCGAATGTTTACCAAAAATAAATAAAAAATAAGCGAATTATGCAAAAGCAGCTTTCGTCAGAGATTCGGATATAGCGTAATTTTTGTGCATCTTGAGGACGATCCAAATAAATTGGCCACATTTGGTGTGTCATCTTCTATCATGAATTGATCGAAGAGGAAATGAAGTGATAACAATGTTTAAGCTACCACCCAATCATCCGCATCCTCCCAATATTAGAGATAACATCAAGATGATGCAAAAAGCAGGCAGGCCAATTTAAAGTTGGTATTAATACTAATATTAATTTATATCAAGATTGCTATTTCCTAACAGCAAGCTTTTGTAGTTTCCAATCATGACAAATTCCTCACTGTCGAAAATCCTGTATTCTCAAGGTTCATGCTAGGGTACAAATATGGTTGATTGGCTAGGCAAAACAAATTGCATGACTATTAGTAAAGGTTTTTACTTCTTAATTTAAGGATGACTAGATGGAATGAAAAACGCCATCAATATGACATATGATACAATAGAATATTGTAGGTAAGTTATCCAACTTGTAATTTATATATAGATGATACAGCTGGTTAAAATTTAATTTTCATGAATTGGTTTTCCAATTTGATCCTTCATTCTGCAATTTGTTACAAGATAACTAAGTGCTACAAAGAATACATTAAAAATAAAATAAAAATAAAGGTAGGGTGAAAAGAAAATAAAAGATTAAACTTAGCATGGGCACATGAACAGTAAATCAGAACTAGGCAGCCCGGTAATCACTTCAGTCCTGTCCCGTTAGTTGTCTGCTAATCAAATCCCTCCAGCTTCCCTAGGGTGCTGCTTAAGGTAACACAAAGAAGTCCAATTCTTAAGATCCATGGGTCCAAATTGCTAAGCCCGTAATGTTGTAAAATGGGGTTGCTTTTTGGTGACTAAAGGCTCTGTTTTATTCAATGTGTCCTCCAAAGTCCATTTCATCTTTGCCGGAGGCTGGACGAAAAAGGGTATACTCATAACTCATAAGGGTTTTTTTTTTTTTTTTTTCAATAAAGTTGTTTTATACTTTAATAAATTGTTTATTCGAGATTTGTGTATCCATAAGTCGCTCTTTTCCTTGATTTTGGTACTTATTTCTTTGGCATTTGTTTTTTGGTGTTTTTCATTTTATCTTTTGCCAACACGAGGGAAGGGAAGGAGAAACAATGCAAAATAAACTCGCGGTGGAGATCACGTTTCTGAAGCACTATCTTTAACGGAATTGCAGAACAATATATTGGCCAATAAATAAATAAATTGTAGAACAATAAAAGGAATTCAAGTATTTCCCTGTACAAAATAATTTTAAAATTAAAAAATTAGATAAGGAGTTATTTATATAGATATATACAGAATTAAAATTAAAAAGAAATGAATGATGAGTATTAGTATTATTGGCAAGTAACTAAGAAAATGGACGGACTAGCCAGAACCGAGAAAGTAGATGAAGGAATGGTTTCAGTATCTTATCTTAACCCATCCATAATATCCAAAACGTTGTAGTTTTGGCGGTTCAAGATGTGTCTTGTACCGAAGAACTCCTTAACAGGCGAATTCCCAGCACTTTTGGAAATATAAGAATCTCTGGGTTCTCTTTTCTTGGCCACACCAAGCTCCTCGCTTTTGCTAACTCCTGGGTTCCTTCTCCTCGCAATTACGTTCTCTAATAATCTTCTATCCTCTTGAGAAAGTTGAGTTCCCAACGGCTTGTTGGTAGGATCAACGGATAGGATTAGAAATTGTCGCATCTTTGACTGAAATTCATGTCCCTTGGGAGGTGATCGTGTAGGCATTGACTTCAAGGCATTTTGTCTGGATCTTACATGGCTAATCAAATGGTGAAGCCATGCCAACAATTCAATGATGTAAACATCTATCTTCTGCTTATCAACGTAATAAAGTGTCTGCAGGCGAATCAGGTTGCTGCTTTCTTTGACTGTGCTATCGCCAAAGTCATTACTGCAAAATATCAGAACAAAAATTATCATCTAACTCACGTGTTATTTGTTCACATTACACGTTAACATGATCATATACATCAAGAGAGATATATTTTTATAACTAACCTTGTGTTATTAGCCCATTCGCCAACCCATCCGAAACCTTGATGTGCTCTGTCAGCAATAACAATAGAGAAAACAAAAAAGCATAAGTAATTGCATGGGTTTTTAACCTATTTTCGTCTAAGGAAATCATAGGGGTTCATTTCATATAGATAGCTGGTTTTTTTTTGGCTGATCCCAACCCTCCTTGTTTACCCTAGGACAGGCCATGCATGCATATATACATAGGCTGAGTTGAATGTTGGCCATCACATAGGCACCGTGAACATAAAATGAGAGAGTAGGGGAAATGAGTATGTTAAAATGGACGTGTAATCATTTAAGGATGGATGAGATAAAAAATAAAGATATTTTATGAAAGATAAGAGTAATACCAATGGTTAAAAAGACGAGAGAATATAGATTGAGATGCTCCAATAAGAATAGAAGTTTGTTATCAAGAGTTTGACACAAAAAGAGAAAGATGATGGCTAAAACTTGCTTGGGGAAAAGTAGTAAAGCAATACTTAATGGAGTGTGCCATAGATTGGTGTGTCTTAGGGCGGAGTCGTCTATTTCTTTATTTACCTCTCCTTTTTTTCTTCTCTTCTTTTCTTTTATTTTTCTTTTTTCCTCTCTATTTTTCTTCTTTTGTTTATTATTTATTTATTTATTTTTATTATTTATTTTCTCTCTTATTTATCTTTATTTTCACTTTATTTTTTAATTGTTTATTGCTTTTTTAATTTCTAAGGTCATTTATATTTTATTTTATTTTTTTATCATCTTTTTTTCCCTCAATATTTTCGTACTTTTCATTACAGTTCATCTGTCACCCACTACATTTAATTTGATATAAAAGTGTTGTTAACGGTGGTGTTGTTTCATCTAAGAAAATAAGACCAGCATGGCGAGAGAGAAAAAAAATGAGCTGGTACAAACAAAATTCAAACAAGCATTTTACAAATCTTACTTGATTGTGTTTGTAGCAAATGGCACGAGCCACTGAAGAGTCTTCTCCATTTCGGCTTTGGTCTGGGTGATGGAGTACTACAGAAAATTGCTATTTCATTTAGCATAATGTCCAAAACAAAATAAAACCCAATCTTCATGAAGCAGGTGTGACGAACCCAAAAAAAATGACAACATAAAAAGGACAACAAAATGCAAGGCAGTGGAAACCCGAGGTGGGAGGGTATACCTCTTTATCAACAGCAATGGTTTGCAACCGGGATGGAAGAGCACTCTTAATATTGTTAGGCAAACCATAATATAATGTGTCCCTTGTATTTGGAGGAAGAGAGGTTGGGCGAGATGCCTGATAAAAACAAACTTTGTTATTTCAACAAAAACAACTATTTGGTACGGTCATTACAAATATTATTAGCATGATACAAACTTACAATCATATTTATCTGATTGATGATGTTAGCATAGTGTAGTGCAAGACCGGCTTCACCTAGTCTTTCAGGACCCTTACCATACTTGGCAGGGGCTGCACCTGCCATGAATCCACAATTTCCTAAAACTTTAGATGATTAATCATCAGATGTTCCTATGACCTGCTAATGGTATCTATATGATAGATAGCAAATACATAGACAGTAGATTTTCATACAAGTCAATACATAACTGGAACACAAACTCAAAATGATTAAGAAATTCACTTAATGGTCTTTGCAGTTTTCCCAAATGCTTTTAATTAGTAGGCAATACATGCAGAAAAACATGATTTAGCTGAAGAACAGTAATAAAACTACAGCAGACGATCCCTCTCATTCAGCTGATTAGAGCCATAGAAGAAGACTGTGTGGCAACAAGTGCACCACAGTATAACTTGTCGTTGTGAAAATTTTAGAACGGATATAAACCACAATTCCAAATTAAGTTTTCAGCAAGAAATCTTACAACAGACAGTATGAAGTGTTTATTTTTAAGGGTCTATTTTCTTGGTAAATATATATCTGATGTGTTTAATTTCAAGTAGCTAAACCACAGAGAGAATGGCAACTATTTATTGCAAATTACATTTCAGTAGTACACGAGCAAAGTTTTTATTAGCAAAATTAAGTTACAGTATGTTTATTTTACTGAGAATCATGTGATACAGATAGCAGGCATGTGAATAATAGAGAAAGTTCAGACTTCAAACCCTAAGCCTGGTAGATGTGATGAATTCCTCTAGTGCAAAAGGAGATGCATATGCTCGAACTATATTAGATGCAGCATTTGGAATTTAAGTTATAAGAGATATGATTTCATACCATGATTTCCAAGGAACTCACAAATTGCTTGATGTATATAGGTAACAATATCAACGAGTTTTTCAACTATCTGCAATAAGCCAATCCAATTCCAACAGAATAAGTTTATTGTTGTAAAATCTGCAGGCATTAAATATTCACTTCTACACTAATATCCAAAATTCCATTCAAGTAAAGGTCCACGGGGAAATACTGAATTCAACAATAATAGATGAAATAATAGGAATTAGTCCTTAAGAATAATATACCTCCTCCAAATTTCTGGACCAAAGAGACTTCTTTTTCAAACTCATCACAAGCTTTTTTTGTTGCTTTAGCTCGCTCTGAAAAATTGTGATACTCTCCCCTACAATTATGTAGAGAGTGGAGTTGTCAATCATTAGTCAATTTCTGCATATTTAAAATTGCAGGTGTCCAGCTGATTATCATGCAAGTCAGATTGATAATCCAAACTGATCATCTGAAACTATATCTCAGGCCCACAAAATATATTTCAATCAAAAAAACTATTTACTTGCTTATAACAGTGAGTAACAAATATTATAAACCAATATCCTTTTTATTGTGAGATTATTATTACAAGATATACTCCATCTGAAACATTAATAAAACTTAGCAAACTGAGGAAATGGGGGAAAAAATCATCACTAGAATACCAATTATTATTTGAAAAAGTTTAGCGAAAACATATTATAAAGTTCCTAACCTTTTAGGGGAAGATTTAAGGACTCCATTTCCTTAATCTTATGCTGATAATCTTGTTCAAAACGTTCATAAGCATTTAATTCATGGTATAATTCCTACACAAAAAGGAGGAAATTAGTTATCTAAAGGAGGAACTACTAAAAAAAATTCAATTGAAACCCTAACCCTAACCAGTAAAAAACTCAGAAAACATATCAGAAGTAGGAAAAACAAATAATATGAACATATAAATACACCTGGTGGTATGCCTAAAAATTGCATATAGTTCTACTCAAGATCAATGAAACAAAATCATGCAGCATACATTAAAAAAACCAAAATGAAGCAACAACTTTGCTCAGCCATTGGTTCACCGAGGAGATGAAAAAATGGGTCAAACTTTATTTGAAATGATAATGAGCTTACAGCACTATTCTGAACTAGACTGGTAAGCTCCTGCATTGTCTTTTCTGCCTCTGCCCGAAATTGTTTGTCGCTCAAGACATCCAAGTCTAATCTGAAAACAAAATTGGACAAAAATTTTAATATGAAATGTCTGTGATTGTAATCATCTAACAATCCAATCATGATAAGTTGGCATAATCTAGCCATAAGCAATGTTTAAGGAAACTCACCTTAAGAAATATCGATCTAGGTTGTGCCACTGTGGGTCCTTACACATATTTCCAAATCTAGCAACTTCCCGTGAGAAGACATTGAATTCCTGCCTACAAATTTCCCAGAAAATCAGAAATAAAGAACATAAAGGAAATTCAAAGTAACGAGAAAAAAGCATTCTACTCATTGAACAAGCTAGAACCTTTTGTCAGCCTCAGCAAGACTTATTAACTCCTTCATATCCGTCGAAACTAACTGTTGAACCCCTTCCGATTGTAAAATGTCCTTCATAAGAAACTGAATGTTTTCTTCAGAAAGTGATTGAAACAAAATTGACCCTTTGGTCAGTGTATTAGCTACTTCAAATGCCAATATAGATATTTTATTCCCTCTGGAAGCCATGCCAGAGCCAAACCCATTACTGGTGTTTAACTTTGACATGCCACTACCAAGTGTGTCCAGAACTTCTACTGCCCTCTCGCTAGCTTTTCCCAGAAAAGAACCCCTCTGAGTAACCTATAAAAGGAAGAGACATCAATCACGAAACATTAAAATTCAAATGCAGAAGTTCCGTGACAAATTATTTGAGATACCATCCTACTAGAAACTCGAAGCAACAACTAATTGACTTTATGCTGCTTATAATTTGACAATTTAAAGTAGAAACATACTGCATTTGTAAGGGAATCGCTATTTCAAATCAGGAATATAAACATTTCACAGCCTGAAAAAAGAAGCAGTTTCTCCAATATAAAATTAGGCAAAATAACTTGAGTGAAACAAAGTTAAATGCACAATTCTTATTTACTCTCTTAAATTATCGGAATCCTACCGTCAATTTATTCATAACTGGTCATTCAGACATTGCAAGCATCAATAATACATCCCATCTCCTCATAAAACGATAGGAGCAGAGTGGAACATACCTGTTTTCCCCCCGTTGGAGTGGGAGACGATAAATCAAATTCATGGGAAAACCCAGTGTCTTGCTTCTTTTTCTTTTTACCTTGACCATTAGACCGTGAATCTGAAAAAGTTTCTCTCCGATTCATAAAGCTATTTTCCTTCTTAAGCTTACCAGAAAACCCCAAAGTCTTCCATCCAAGTTCTGCATTTCCCTCAACCATACCAGCCGAGCAAACTGCTCCCATTATTCTTCAAATGTTTACGTGCAGAAGAAAAATGCAACACAATACAGCAAAGAAAAACTCAATGTCTGCCCAAATTCAGCTTCTGCTTTGTGGAATTCACAGATTTAAACTATGAATAGCAACAAAAGAGAGAGAAAAAAAAAAAACTTAATAGGTGGGAACTGAGAACCCAAAAGCGTATCTAGCAAACCATAGAGCTTCAATTGAAGAATTCAGTAATCAAACCAAGAATTTTTCAAGTTTCAAAATCGGCGCATACCTATTCACATAAAGTATCCCTAATGGAGAAGGAAACCCAAAATAGCAGTTTAGAAAATGAGGACCATATAATTCGTAAGGATATAGGAATGAGAAAAGTCGCTGAGAATTTACGACTCTCGACTTTGACTATAAACATGAAAGATAGACATGACATGTTCACGATGGTTGAATTTATCGAATGAATAAATTAGTAAAAGTAAACAATTAATAAAAAGAGGTAACGCGCAAATGGAATGCAAGGATTGGAAATTTCGTGGAATGAAGTATTTGACTCGACATGAAAGAGAGACGTGGCAACCCAACAATTAATGAAATCGACGACTCTGCCTTCCTCGTCTGTCGTGTACTGCGTAAGAAACATCAAAACGTGAAAACACAGGAATACGAAGTCGCGCCCGACATGTGAACTAGATGAAGATTTGGATCCATTCAGTAAAGCTGATCATCATATTATTATTTGATCACATTTATTCATTGATTATGATATAAAAAAGAGAAAAAATATATATAATTTTTAAATAAGTTACTGTGATTAAACTATATGATCATTTTTACGCGTGAAAAGATTCAAATCCACTGAAAGATGGTCATACACATTAATTTTACATTTACATAGAAGAAATGAGCTAATTTAGCGTATAATTGAACTTCAATTGGTATGGCTTGATATAGCTAGACTTGAGCCGCTTTTGAGAAAATAGAGGAAGACGGACTTAGTGCGTCTTTGGATTTTTTTTTTTAAGTTAGAACATAGAAGCTAAGTCAAATAAATTTTGAAAAAAAATTTTAAAATAAAAATATTTTTTTTATAATAAAAAAAAATACTAAAGACTTATAGGGGAAAAAAATTTAAACTCTTATTAACTTTTCTTGAATTTTGTGTGTTTTTTTTTTCTAAATAAAAAGTTATAAAGATAGAATTTTTTTTTTTTGAAATATGTGTTTTTAAGTTAAATTTTTTATGTAATTACCAAATAATTTTTATTTTTTTAAAACTATTTTTTTAACTTTAACTTATAAGTAGCTTCTAACTTAAAAGAAAGATGATCCAAGGAGGCTCTTAACCAATTAGTCAAGGAAAAATTATTAGTTTGATCTGTTATTTCTCCTTTTCTTCGTGAAGAACGCAATCATTTATTAAATTTCTTTACTGTGGGGGAGCTGTCACGATTAAATCAATTTTAATTATTAATATGTTTTCATTTAACAGTTCAAAAAATTTAATAAATTAACAGTTAAAATAAAAAAATATAACACATATTGATATAAAATAATTCTTCGAGTATATATATGATTCATTAATATTTTAAAATAATTTTTAACTTACCCACCAAAAAAATAAAATAAAATATTAATTATTTATATGATGCAAAAATATTATGAAATAGAGAGGTACGCATTTTTCCTTGGTTTTTGTTTTTTCACGAAGAATGTCAATTAAATATCATTTTCGATTCTCGGTAAATTTTAAAATACTCGCTTTAGTCTCTAGCAAATAAAAAAGTTATACGTGGTCCTTAAAAAATTCAAAGTGGACCTATTTTAGTTTTTTTGATGGATTAATATGGGTCTTTTTGAATTTATGAGGGATCACGATTTCAATTAAATGGGTCCATTTTATTTGCTAGAGACTAAAGTGGTCATCATAAAATCTGCTGAGTACCAAAAAGACTATTTACTCTTCAATTTATTTACCATGGTGAGCTGTGACTAGTGATATGCATGGGTCGAAACGAACCCAATTTTTTGAAAAATCGAACCGAATTGGTTTAAATGGTTCGGTTCGGAAGTGGTTTGGTTCGGTTCAAAACTGGTTCGGTGGGAAACGGTTCGGTTCGAAATCGGTTCGGTTCGGGTCGACTCTCTTTTGAAAAGAAAAAAATTAAAAATTTAAAAAATAAAGTTATAAAAATCAATTTGGTTCGGTTTAAAGACGGTTCGATTCGATTCAAAATTGTTCGTTTCTTAAACTGGTTCTAAAGAGCGGTTTGGTTCTTAAACTGTTTCTAAAAAACCAGTTCGGTTCATGAACTGGTTCTTTAAAAACGGTTCGATTTATGAACTGATTTTTTAAAATGGATTATTTTAAGTAACGGTTCGGTTCGATTTAATTTTTTGATTATTTTGCACCACCGGTAAACGTGACAGCTTCCATTCTATGTGTTTTCGTTTTCTTATTCGAGATTCAACCAAGACATCACATTCCGTTCTTCCTGCTTCTTAATGGAGAAAATTTAAAATGATCTAGAATCATTGACTGATTGGGGGTTTCCTCCCACAAAGATTAAAAATTAAAATTCCAATTTTATCCAAGTTTTTTATTCCTTTCTCTTTTTTGCCCTCCTATCTGTGAGAAGGAACCACTAAAAATAGACCATGGTTACGAATAAGGAGAAAACCTTTGGTAGTTCTTGTTCTGTGAAAATAAGTTGTGATGTGTTCCGTTTTTCTTTTTCTCCAGGCCGAATCTAAATATGTGTTCGAGAAATACCTGTCCACAAGTAGATATAAATGGATTAGATGGTGTAACATGAGCTTGCGCTCTATCTTATATTAGATTAAACTCGATCTATTGTATATATTAAAAATAGAACAATTTTAGGCTCTAAAAAAAATTATTTATAAAAAGGGCAATAAATTTTCTTTTATATGTTAGGACTATAAATCTACGGACCGTCCTATATCATATTATTTATTTTAAATAAAATTATTATTTTAATAATTTTAAATAATAAAGTAATATTATTTTAATTATTAAAAATCTAATAGACTTAAACAGACTAACAATTTATGTTAAGAGGTCAGAACAAACCTATAATTTGGACCTACATAAGACTAGTAGACCATGTCAAGTCTAAAATATTTTACATGTATCTGAACTATTTAAGCCAAAACTCAACCTAACTAACATATGTCTAATTTATTTGGGCCTATATTCATACTAAGAGAAAAAAAAACTAAGACTTAAAAACAAATTATAAAAAAAATATGAGTTAAAATATTTTTTTGATAAAAGGAGTATCGAGTTCTATACTCCGTATTACTGAAGAAATTTCCAATATGATCCATCTTTGTCGTTGCTTTTCGGCGCAATTATCCCTTCACTCGTTCTTACGGCCTCAAGTCACAATTCCTTTGTTACAACTGGGATTTTTATTCTTAAAAATGAGATAATTTCTTTTACACGTTCTTTTCTTTTAGAACCATGTGCTTTTTTGCATTTTGTATTTCTTATTTTAGTTTTATTCTCATCCGCTTTAATTGATATTTTATATGCATATAAAATTTTATTTGTTTCAAATTTGTTATTTAATACTAAATATTTATATCAATTGATCATAAATAATAACAAAAGTATTTCTTCAAATTTTTAAACCTTATTCAACTACACAAACATATTTAACCGAAATGGAATTAAAAAGGTTTTATTGAATCCTTAATAATGCTTAACTTTTTTATTATATACTTACAAAACATGAAGTTAGAGATTTTGACTGGGTTTAGAATTTATTTTAATTCAAAATTAATGATCTCGATATTTCAGGAAGTGTTTAAAAACTCGGTTCGGCCATTAACCCAGCCGAGATCAGGGGTCACTGGTTCAATCGGGAAGTCACGGGGTCACTTCGCTGACCCGGTTTTATACATTAAAAAAATATAAATATATATTCTATATGAATAATTCAAAAAAATCAAACCACCAATCATTCAAGATTCAAATTATACTTAACATAATTCAACAAATTACATCTACAAATTAATATTCACAAGTTAACCAAACTATCAAACTATAAAACACATATTCCAATAGAATTAATGAAAAGTTATATCATCAAACTCAGACTCTTCTGGTTCTTCTCATGCACCTACAATAGTACGTGAAAGGAAATCTCTTACCCAATAGATAATAGCGGAGGAAAGGCGGCGACACAACAAGTTAACGGTGGAAAAAAAGAACCAGCACGGTGGAGGAGATCACCGGAGCAGGAAGACTGAGTCTAAGTCAAGGAGAGAAGATTGGAAGAGAAAAAGAAGAACGATTCAGATTTCAGATCTAGTTCTAAATTTAGGCAACAACGAGTTTTTTTTACACATCAAATGATATTATTTTGTGTAATTTTTTTTAAAAAAAAATTACAGTGACCCCTCTGACCCGAAAGTCAAGGGTTCAACCGGGGAGTTTCGAGAGTTAAAGAGATCAAAGTGCAAGTAAGGTCTAACTATTAATCCAAACCCTGAAAAAGAGAGGTCAATTACCGAGAGGGGTCGACCTCGAAGTGATGCGGGATTTTAAAAGACTGATTTAGGTGAAAACTTTTGGCATTCGTTTACGCTTGATACTCGTGTAGACGGTAGATGTTTACTAGAAGCTTGCTAGATTCATGATCAGCGAATAAGATGCTGTTTTCATGTGAATTGTACGTTAGCGCATCAATTTGCGTATCAGTTAAATTGATATATCCTATATTTCCATTTATACATTGTACCTAAAACACAAGTTGTATTTTTTTGTAAATCATAAATGATCGGGCTGGTGATACTCAAGTTCACGCTGAATGGCAGCAATGAAGTGAAAAACATTAGGACTACGAAACAATAGCTTTGGTTCCGATTCCTTGAGTCGTTCAGCTTATGGGAACCAATTCTCATGAGAATTGTTCATTGAATACTTTTTTGTGTAGTTCTGCACGCACAAATAATTGTCTAATCAGAGGTGGATCTTTAAGAAGGCTGGCTCCCCTAAAATTTTGAAAATAGTTGCATATATATAAGGGTTTTATAAGAGTTATGTTGTAGGAAAGATGATTGTGTTATATTATAGAGATTCATTATGCGTGCCGTAATTTTTTTTTTTTCAAAACATGCGGGTTCCACAAAATATTGTGTGTGTAGGAAATTTTTTGTGGTCATGTTAAATGATAGATATAAACCCCTATATAGAATGTGGTTTAGTTTGTCCTTTAATATGACATGAAAAACTTTCCTACCCACAATATTTTGTGGTGCCCACACTTTTTAAAGCAAAAAAAAAAAACTAAGATACGCAAAACAAATTTCTATAACATTACACAATCACTTTTCCTACAAGATAACTCTTATAAAATTCATGTATATTATGGTAAATGATAACTGATAGAAGTATGTACTTCGGAGACCATTGCAACGAGACCATAACAGAGAGAGAAGCTTAGCCCAATGTCATTTAAAGAATTCAAGCGAGTTGAAGATAGAAAATAAAATGATATCTACCTTTGCGTTTGATGTTGGGCCAGCTTGTTTCAAGGTTTGGCTCAGGCCTTTTTAAAACCCACAGTCATCCTTCTATAAATTCCGTAAATTTTCTAAATTATTAACAATTAAAAACGAAAAAGAAATTCTTAAGAGGTAAATGTTACTCTATTTCCTCACGGCCTTGTATTATCTTTCTCACCATGAGTCCCGCGAAGCTTTTCTTCAGGGCCCACAAGGGTGATTAGAGGTGACATGATCCACTTAAATGACGCAAAAAATTCATATTTGAATATATTTACTTTTAAATTCGTGTAGTATTTAAGTTAATAAAAGTTGACGTAAAAATTTTTTTGTTACAACTCGTGAATCCAAAATTAACTCATATTAATTTTCTTACATATTATTTATGTCTTGTCATAAATAAACTATTCATATCTTATTTTATCATGTCCATCCTTATAATAAGTAAGACAAACTATATTTAACATGTTATTTGATCATCTCGGATCAGATCGATCCAAATTGCTACATTACTTGCAACTAACGATTTGCCTTTTATAAAAATCAAAATTAATTTTTAATTTTCATCAACTATTTATATGTATTCTGCACTTTGCAGTCGCTAATATTACATCCAGAGAAGTATCGAGAACTGCGTGTACAGGAAACATTATATATATTTATATAAACCCAATGTATTTGACTTAGGTATATTAAATTAGGGTTTTAAATGAGAGAAATTATTTTATATTATAAGATAAATAAAGTAAGATTCACCAATTTATAAAACAAACAAAAAAAGAAAAAAAATATTTTTTTATGTGAGTATAACATGAGAGATGAATCTCATGCAATATAAAAATATAATTTATCTTAAACTAGTAATGCAATTTTTATTAAATAAATGTTATATTTATTGATATGTATTTTATTGAATTAATATGTACCCAAATTATGTAAATTAAATTTAAATAAAAAACTCTCCGATAAACATAGTCACAATACATAATAGGGTTTTACTTCTCTCATGTTGTATGAGAGAAGTTATCTCATATTGTGAGATAAATTAAGTGGGGTCCATCAATTTTTTAAAAAAAAGAAAGAAAGAAAAGAGAGGCACACGTCTTTTTATGTGAATGTAAAATGAGAGAAGAATCTTATGTGACATAAGAGTATAATTTTCCTACATAATATGAATAAATTTCATTATATATATGGGACAAAATTATTTAAACCTATAATTTTATGTGGACTATCAAATTTTTAGAGATATCAAAACGGATAGATACGACACAGTACAAAATGAATACACAAAACACGAATGCGACAAAAATTTTGTAAAGGTTGATACAATACAATACGAGTGATACCTAAACTATAGGGCAAAATTACTACAAAAAAAATCAAAAATTTAAAAAAATGATAAAATTAGTTTAAAGAATATAGCTATACACGAATTTAACATGACACAAATTTTTTTCGCGAATCAATTTTTTGTAATACAAACACAATGCAATTTTTTTTACTGAACATGCACTTACGAATTCTTTATCGTTATATTAATATTAGGAGATATTTGATATAGGGAAAAAAAAATTATCAAGAAAATATAATTACTTGGAAGGTGGGGCCAAGGGATAGCACGAGCATTGTCATGCGCTGGTGTAGTTGTTGGCCGTACATGGCTGTCATCCTCGAACAATGAACGGCACAGGATATCACACTCGAAAACAAAATATCCCGCTCTCAATTATTACCATTATAACCTCCGAATTTCTCTCTCTTTCTCCCTCCAACCCCAACCCCCCAACCTCTCCATAAATATGTGTCCTCTCTTGAACGGAACCGCTTAACTTCATTTCCCAATACCAAATAATTCGCAAACCCTAAATCTCGTCGTTCTCCATCTTTCATTTCGGAAGCGCAACCATGAGAGAGATCTTGCACGTTCAAGGTGGCCAATGCGGCAACCAGATCGGCTCCAAATTCTGGGAGGTCATTTGCGACGAGCACGGCATCGATTCCACCGGAAAATACAACGGCGAAGGGAATTCCGATATCCAACTTGAGAGGATCAATGTGTATTACAATGAGGCTTCTGGTGGCAGGTATGTTCCCAGGGCTGTGCTTATGGATCTTGAACCTGGTACCATGGATAGTATCAGATCTGGACCCTTCGGCAAGATCTTTCGCCCTGACAACTTCGTCTTTGGCCAGTCTGGTGCCGGTAATAATTGGGCCAAAGGTCATTATACTGAAGGTGCCGAGTTAATTGACTCTGTTCTTGATGTTGTTCGCAAAGAGGCCGAAAACTGTGACTGCTTGCAAGGTATTTTACTCCTCTGCATTTCTGTTCTATCTCTTCTTCTCTGACTTTTCTTGTTTTCTATAATGCTACTTGATTGCTCTGCAGAATTAACCTCGTTCAATGCGATTCATTAAATCGTAGCGAGTCTTTTTGTTTTACTTTTTGCAAATGACGTAATGCCTGAGCGACGATGCATTTGTAGATCCATTAAGTTTTAGCTAAGACATTTCTCTCTGTTTCTATGTCATTGATATCAATGGTTATTTTCGCGGTTGAAGTATTTTTTTCTTTCTAAAATTGACTTCTTCAAACGATGATTTATGAGTATAATAGAAGATAATAATTGATTTATAAGTTTCTCTCGGTCGCACGGATGATGTCGACTTAGATCCTGGCTAACAGAGTTAGAGTTTAATGAATGATAAACAGAGTATAAAATCCTGTATTCTAATTAAAGCTAAGGTGGAAGAATGCGCAGCGGAAAATTCTGAGCATATCCAATTTTACTCTTAGGAGATCCAGGAATTTAATCCCTAGTTCAACTCAATCTACTCAATAATTACTGATACACCATAAAGCCATATTTTATATTTGATTTGGGTCAGTTGTTTGATAGAACACTTTTAAGAGCTTTACTTGGCTTTTGTATAATAAGTACATTTTATTTTTATAATAGATATAATAAGTACATTTTAGGGATTGATTATGTATAGTATCCGTATCTTGATATACGGACTCTATACATTGAATGTGAGGGCAATTGATAAATGTTTCACTACTCACCTTGTTGTCTGGATCGTTCATTGTTTTTTGCTATCTGTAGATCTCTTTTAAAAAAAAGAGTAAAACGAAAGAATAATAGTAGATCTGTAGTAGCATCGGGATTTTCTTCATGTCAGCTTCCCACTGCAATAATTGCTGTCTCAATCATTTTCTCTCTCTCCCTCCCTCTCTCTCGTGTAGTTGACATTAAGCAACTGGATTGCTTGTTTTTGGAGAAATTGACAAGGCTGAGCTGTTAACATGGCCCCCTTTGTCTAGAGTGAAGACAGGCAGGGGGACCACGTTATATTATATAGTGCATAATTAAATAAAGCTATCTATAAATATGGTTCTCTTCCTATTATGATTTTGGGGTAATTATAAATCATATTTGCACTATTTTTTTAGAAAAAAAAATACTCCAATGCCCACATTATCTACCTGTACTTTCTTAAATAAGCAAAAGTGTAAAAATGTCGCTGGATTATTGATGTACAAATATCATTTTTCCTATGATTCTTTATTGTGATTGTCAAAACAGGGTCTGACAAAACATGAAGGCACCGACGTTGTGCTTTCCCTTTTAGCAATTTTACCAAAGTAAATTTAAGGCACGTGATGTTGTTACGACTGATAGGTCTAGCCTTACCCCCCTTGAAATTATTGCCTTGCAATGAGTAGTACTCATCTGCTTATATTGCCAAGCAAGTGCGTGAATAAACCTTGGAATTCAGCTGGAGAAAAAATTAGGCATGAAATTGACTTTAGAAATGTACAAAATACATCGGAGTTTGTTTTCAACATGGATCTTTAGTTTCAAGGAGCAAGTCACCGCAGTATATTAATTTACCATCTGTATCTGAATTCTGAGATAGAATTGGAATATCACCTGCAGAATAAAGCAACGTAAATTCATGAAACGAAATTGTGTATCTTTTTGCTCTAATATGAGTTATTGCTTAGATAGTAAGTCATAATAGTGGTCTAGGAGCTACATGGGACTATGTATTAGTCAGAAACAGCATGAGTGGTTTCTGTTTAATTGTGCTGAATAAAACACAATTGTGGTCATGGTCCTTGTTCTGTCCTAGGAATAGGTATGTCTAGTCTTGTGACTAGTATGTTAATATTGGATCTGAATGCCCTCTCTCATGTACCTATGAGGAAAGTAACTTAGAGAATAGCGGATCAATATGTACTATGATAATAACGACATAGCCAAATGGTGGGGTGTGCGCATAGTAATAGCTAAGAGAGAGAGGGTTTAAAATGTGTGTACCTTATTGGCTTAACCCTTTATTTATAGATAGGTTATTTGACAGTAGTGGAATTCTGGGCCTCTTAGGAATGTTGGGGGTTCAGTTCATGATCCATAACTGCCGTAGTAGGATTAGTATAATTAAGGAATCTTTCCTTAATTCCTTTTTAGCCGGTAGCACTTTTTGGGCCTTTTAGAATATGAGCCTTTATGTCAGTTCCATAACAGTCCCTTAGCAGGGTGCTGAACGGAATAGGACCGGTATGCTGTCATGGTCTTGTAATGGGGCTTCTATGTGAGACTGAATTTTATTAAATTGCTTCCATGTGAGATGTGGCTCATACTTGGTACCTGCCGCAGGAAATCTGATTTTTGATAGTTTAGTTGCTTTAATACTACATAGCATTTGTGAACTTGCATATTTGTCATCTTTTATTTTGAAATCTGAAAATTATATTTAATTTCCTCAGGTTTTCAAGTTTGCCACTCGCTCGGAGGAGGCACGGGTTCTGGCATGGGAACACTGTTAATATCAAAGATTAGGGAGGAATACCCAGACAGAATGATGCTCACATTCTCTGTTTTCCCATCTCCAAAGGTTTCTGATACGGTTGTGGAGCCATACAATGCCACGTTATCTGTACACCAACTGGTAGAAAATGCAGATGAGTGCATGGTTCTTGACAATGAAGCACTTTATGACATTTGCTTCAGGACATTAAAACTCAGCACCCCTAGCTGTAAGTATTATCTCCTCTGTCCTAATCCCCCAAGTGATCTCTGATTAGGCATATATAACCAAATAACTGATTTTGCTTATTCCTCTCCTCACGGTGTAATTGCAGTTGGTGATCTGAACCATCTGATTTCTGCAACTATGAGCGGGGTTACCTGTTGTCTGAGGTTTCCTGGACAACTGAACTCTGACCTCAGGAAGCTGGCTGTCAATCTGATTCCATTTCCACGTCTTCATTTCTTTATGGTGGGGTTTGCTCCTCTCACTTCTCGTGGGTCTCAGCAGTATGTCTCCCTTACTGTCCCAGAACTGACTCAGCAAATGTGGGACTCCAAAAATATGATGTGTGCTGCTGATCCCCGACATGGCCGATACTTAACGGCATCTGCAATGTTCAGGGGAAAGATGAGCACCAAAGAGGTGGATGAACAAATGATAAATGTGCAGAACAAGAATTCGTCATACTTTGTTGAATGGATTCCCAACAATGTGAAGTCCAGTGTGTGTGATATTCCACCCAAGAATTTGAAGATGTCATCTACCTTTATCGGGAACTCAACATCAATTCAGGAGATGTTTAGGAGGGTGAGTGAGCAATTCACTGCCATGTTCCGGCGCAAAGCCTTTTTGCACTGGTATACTGGGGAAGGAATGGACGAAATGGAGTTCACAGAGGCAGAAAGTAACATGAACGATTTGGTAGCAGAATACCAGCAATATCAGGACGCAACAGCCGAGGAGGAGGATGAGTATGAAGATGAGGTTGACGAACACTATGAGGAGCAGTAGCTGGATCAAGCTTGGCTATAATGCCCTTATGTTACCGACACTGATCCAGATTTGCTGCTATTCGTGTGTCTACAGCTATATGCACTCTTATTTCTCTCCTGCTTTCTTACATTTTGCTGATTTATCTTTTAAATGTATTACTTTTAAATTGTTTGAAATGTGCCCCGTCAGACAATAGTTGATTCTCGTATTCTTATGCATGTAAGTGTATGAATATCCTCCCAATTCACTTTGCATTAAGGGCTGGGGCTTTCCTAGTTTTCCTTTACCTTCAATGCCATCGCCCCGAGGAAATGGGCTTAAAATGGGGCGGGCGTGTCGATCTCTCCCGACCCAGAACCCATCGCCAACGCGAGGACTTGGGAAAAGAAAATGGCCCTTCTTTTGTTATTTTCGGTGTTTTTATTTTTTATTTTTTAATATTTTTGAGATGTGGATAAGCTCGTAGCAGAAAACTTCCCGCGAAGGAACTTTGTGCGCCCCGAGAATGGAACTCTGACCTTTTATCTCCATGTTTTTTTTTCTTCATGTTTTCGGTTGATAATTATATTTCGTGCAAACCTCTGTTCAAAATTCAAAGAAATAATAAACTTTCAAAGCTACGCGTTTATAAGTTCCTCGGCACAAAAGAAGGGAAGTTGCAAAGGTAAGTAACGTGTGCCTGGCATTAATCCATGTTTGTGACGTGCATCAGCGTTTATGTTAGCGTAGTTTATTTTTAATTTCTTGAAACAATTTTGCTAATACAAATAAAAAAAGTTCGCTAAATTAATATATAATGTTTAAAATATTTTAGAATAGATCTTGAAAACTGTAATGGTTTTACAATGAGTTGATTACCCCACGGCCGATTTAAAATTAATTAACCATTTTATCCATTTTTCCAAATTGTATAATAATCTAACTCCTCTTCTCAAATTATACACCCATATTTAATCAATAAACGAGCATATCGGTCTATTATATCTGTCAAACATAAATCAAAGACGAATTATAATATAAGATGAGGAACAAACTAGTATATAATAAAAAAGAAATTGGCAAATTAATTTTAAAAAAGGACAAAATAATAATCTATGACCCACTACTACACTCTGAATACCAGATTGAAATTTTTATTTTTATGCATTTTAGATTTGTTTACAGATTCATGTCAAGAATACGGCTTAGATTGAAGCTTTTGAAGGGGGGGAAATCCCAATAGCCCGATCTAAACCGGATGACCGAAGGAAAAAGCAAACGATTAGAAACTTGAAGCATTAAAAGTTTAAAATCGAATGAAATACAAACATCAAGATTGGGAGAGAGACAGGAAATTAGGGGGAGGAGATGGATTTCGACGAAGGCGAATAATCCTAGTATAAAAATAAGAAATAAAGATGATTAAAGCGCATCAGAGTCATGGAAGTATGAGGATAAACATTGCTCGCAAATAGTAATAGACGAGCTTCTCATAATCCGGAATAAATTCTCATCACTTGCTTACTTAACATTAAAATATCATCCCACTTGTATATAACATGATAATATACTAATCACTCACTGTGTGAGTAGGGGACCAAAAAGAATATGATACTATTTGATAATCACGAAGCAGCTATCAAACAGAGGTACGGAGCATGGACCACCGATGCGGCCTTCATTTAGCTTTTATAACGGAGACGATGGAAACATTAGGGTTTCCTCATTGAGCCACATCGGGCTTTTGATTGTATGGGCTGGCTTGTGTTGTTTTGGGTTATCAAATGAAAATCGGATATCTATTCAATTTATATACAACAAGGAAAGAAACGAAAAGTCTAATTCTTAGTAAAAACAAATTCTATCTGACAAATGTCGTCTTAGAGGATCCAATTTTCTAAACCCCACCTGGCTTATCAAATTTCAATGCCATGTTAGACTTGGGGCACAGTTTGCAGGATAATAAGCAGCACAAGAATCAGCTTAGCATAATAGAGCGCGTATAGCATCAGAATCCACGAAATTAGTTTATCAGGGTTTTTAAAACCATCAAGCCACAAAAAATTGTTGTGTATTGCACGCACATTATCTAATATACTGTAACAGAATTTAATATGCAAAAATAAAATAAAAAAATTGTACATTAATTTATATCTTGTAATGGGATTTAATATGGCAAAATATTAAACATTAGTTTTACAACTGTCGCTCTTGCTAACTAATTTGCGGTTAGATATACAATTGTGTAAGCAAAAATTTGAGCAATGAGAACCAAATTGATATAGTTTTAACAATGAACATGGATCATGTGACATACTAACAAATTAAATCGAGCCTTAATAAAACAATAACAACGTCGCCTTATCCGAGAAGGTGGAGTTGACTACATGGATTAAAATCAATGCCATTGGATTCTATAAAAAAATAAAACTTGCAATAAAAAACATTTAAAGAAGGTCTTGTTATGATTTCTCAGTCTTCTTCTACCCTGTTATTTAAGAACGGTGAGGATCCAAATCCTTGTTTAATATAATGCCCTTTCCATGCCTTCCACAATCAAATCCAGGGGATCCACCAAATAAGTAGGCCATGACATTGGTTGGTATGGTAACAGGGAAACCTCTTTTCGTTATTGACTCAAAATTCTTCAATCTAGTGAAAGGAGAAGACCGACCATATAGTAGAGGAGGAACCATAGACAGAACCTAGGAAAAATCAAACACAGACAAAGAAGTTAGTTCAAAGTACAATAAGCAATCAACTATTAATTAATTCAATGGCTTTGGTATTGGATTGACAAAGTAATATACTTACTTGAATGATACGAGGTGATACGGATACAAACTCTGCACTCTCCATAGCTTCAAACAATTTACTCAGCTTTAGAGACAAATTAGTGGCCTTGGGAAATTTTCCATGGAGCCGAAAACCGCCCAAATCAATATTGACTCTCTCTACAAAGGGAAGTTTCCCCTATGAGAAAATCATAAAGATAATAGTTGTCACTATAGCTAAAAGATTGAAGCTTTGGAGTAAAAAGCTCAATTGCAAAGTCTGAATTCTTTGTCATATTGGATATGGTCAAGTTCGTTAATTGAGGAGCATGGATTTGAAACTTCTGAATATCGCCAATGTAAGAACAATCAATTAGTGAGAGACACCTCAAATTGTGTCCTACCACAATCGGGATTAGAACTTTGGGATTTCTAAAGTTATGTCATAAAAACTATTTTCATTTTCTTATATTAAGCTTAAATTATTTACTATACTGCATTGTGTTTTCATATTATATAATTGCAAGATACATTTAATGCTGACTTGTTATAAGCGTCTTAAAATAAAATTATTCATTCTAGATTTTTTTTTCATTCAATGATTTAAATTGTATATCTAACTTATTTATTTTTCGATTATCACACTGTTATATATATACAAAATAGGTAAGCATGTACATCTCCTAAAACTGTTCTTACGAATTCATTGATTGGTTTGGATTTTAAAGATAAGATAGGATATTGTAACAATCAATTAACGTTACTACCAATTAGGGGTGTAAATGGACTAGGCCGGCCTACAGGGACCTATGACTTAGCCTATATTAAGCCAGACTTGGTCTATTATAAATAGTAAAATAGAACAGGCCTAGGCTTTTAAAAAAACATATTTAGAAAACAGGCCATAGGTTTTTTTGTACATGTCGGGCATATAAGCCTACAGGCTGGCCTATATCATATTATTTATTTAAAATATAATAAATAAAATTATTATTTTAATAATGTTGAATAATAAAATAATATTATTTTAGTTATTCTTTTAATTGTTGAATGTTTAATAGGCTTAAACATGCTAACAGGCCTAGATCAAGGCTTTTATTTTTTAAATATAGGTCAGGCCAGACTTAAAAATGGGGCCTACACAAGCTAATAGGCAAGGTCATATCCAAAGTTTTTTACACAGGCCTGACCTATTTAAGCCAAAGTCTAGCCTATTTACACCCCTACTATCAATATTACTACCAATCAATTTTACCGTTAGATCGATTATGTTTAGGGGTGTTCAAAATGTCCAAAAGAACCAAACCGATCCATAACCAAACTGCTCTACATTTTAAAAACCGGTTTCATATGAAACTGCTTTTTATTTTATGAACTGATTATTTACCAAATCATAAAAATAATCGGTTATCCATAACCAAACTACTTTACAATTAAAAAATAAAATAAGTATTATCTTTTATCATGCCTATTATATTACCAATTGACTCAAACTTCCAAACAATAAACTAGCGAAAAAAGTTAAGCAGCTCAACTAGAAAGCATTTATTTAAAAAAAAATTACACATAAATCAAAAGGTCGCATCATAATAAAAAGCACTTCTTATATAATGTAACAACTTTTTTCCCAAAAAAAAAAAAAAAAAAACCACATACAGGCCTCCTGGCAAACTCATAACTTGACAAGGCGAAGGCTTTGAAATGACAAAGATGAAGTTAAGAAATCATAACGAAAAGGGCAACGAAATTAATCAATTGGCTTAACGTCTCTGAGAGAGCGCCGTTAAAAGGATAACTCACAATGAATTTACTTATTTGTTCTTTAATTATAAAGGAGTTTGTTAGGGATAACCAATTATTTTTATAGTTTGGTAAATAACCAGTTTATAAAAATAAAATACAGTTTCATATGAAACCAATTTTTAAAAATAACCGGTTTTTAAAATGTGGAGCAGCTCGGTTATGGATTGGTTTAGTTCTTTTGAACATTTTAAACACCCCTACCCATACCTTCCTCCATTAGTTAAAACGAAACTCTTAGTAACATAAATCTTGAGAGAACGAAGACCAATTTTTTTTTTATAATTTTAAAATAATTCAACTATTCTTCTACCAATCACTCTCAAAATAATGTGAAACAATTTCTATAAGAATCATTTCGTCCTGAGAGATCCAAAACAATGAAGATTCTTGCAAAAAATAGTTGGTCAACTACCTATAACCGAGAGAAACAAACAACTACTTATAAAAATAGCACAATCCATCAAAAATCGATTTTGAATTTGTTAAAAAACTGGTTTTGAACTTGATAACCGGTTTATGGTTCATAACCGATTTTGATTTAAAATCGGTTTTGAATTAAAATCGGTTATAAACCATAAACCGGTTTTGGAACCAGTTTCAAACCGGTTTAGAAAATTGAAAACTGGTTTTAAAAGAAGAAAACCGTTCAGTTTGAAAACCAACTCGTTTAAAACCGGTTCGGTTTGATTTTTGTTAAAACCGGTTATGAACCGCTTCATGCACATCCCTAATTATGTTGATCCAACAGTTATATTTATTTATATTTTTATATAGTTATGATTCCCCATATTTAAATATGGAAAATCATAACCATATAAAGGTGAAATAAATATTAAGTATTAAATATGAGAATTATTACCATACAAAGATTAAAATAAATATAATTGTTGGATCAACATAATCGATCTAACGGTGAAATTGATTGATAGTAACATTAGTTAACACTAATTGGTTGTTTCAATATTCTTCCCATTTAAAAATAGAAAATTTATTCTCATGCTACATGAGATAAATTTTTCCTCCTACATACCATTCAATAGCTGTGTCATTTTTTTCTTTTCTTTTCTTATTATTTTTTCAGGTGATGGAGCCCACAAATTAGTCTATATGATATGAGATAATTTATCTTCTTTAACCTAAGATTAATAAAACTCTTAAAAATATCTCTGTAAAACTTTTCGTGTTAGATTTTTACTATTATTTATTCTATTCTCTCTCTCACTCTTTTTTTCTTTGGAGTCTTAAGAGGTTTCATTATACCTTTTGGTAATGAGCCTATTTTTCACTTTGTGATCTCAAACCCCAAAGACTATACGAGCCTATCACCCTCTTTGTTCAAGCTTGTTTACCACTAATCCATCACTTGTGGGTCTTCTATTCCAGTTTTACACACTTTATTTTTTAGTTATAAAAAGAAGCATAATCTACAAAGGGTTGTGTGTGAGAGTAAGTTATGCTTCAAAGGAGATCAAAATTCAAATATTCTCTAATAAACACTTCTAGAAGAATGTATTAGTTTGTAACAGGTCATGACCGTATATGCGAATTAGTTTTATAATAATGACACAATTATATCCCATAAAAAAGAATGCACAATCCAATAATATTTCCGTAGCTTTTTTAAAAAAAATTGAATTTTATTTTATTATATTTTTATTATGAGAATCTTATTACATTTGGAGCCTAGAGCTATTAAAGTGCATCAACCTTAGTCCACTTGTGCTAGAAGCTTCATAGTGTTCGACCAAAAAGAAAAAAGAAAACATGTTAAGTGGGTTGTACAATCGTCTCACCGAAATTCCTAATTGTGCAAAGCAATACTTGATTGACTTTTAAATTTTCCATTTAGGAGAGAGATTGAAAATCATCGAAGTCCCTATGAAGAATGAAAAACAACAAATTTTCAATCGGAAAGTTTAGACAAACCTGTAAGTAGTATAAAATTGCATCATCAGATATATATGATATATCAAGGTCTAATCTAATGGAAGGTAAACAGATATGTTGAATGGCGCTCCCAATGAAAACAAATAAGAGCCAATGAGAATAAAAGCATTTATTAGTGAATAATGATGCAAATATACCCTAATTCGAGTTTTTTAAATTACCTAAAAACTCGGAATCAGAAAAGATATTATCATGATTTATGGTACATAAATGCGACAAACTCTCCACTAAGGCCTCCCTATTGAGTACACTCTCCGTAACACCCATTAAGTACCCGTCCAAATTTTTGTTTGTTTAGAATCAGCAGTAACCATATTGAAGATAAGAGCTTAAAAAAGAAGAGCCAAAAACAAAAATACAATTGAGAAAAAGGAAAAGGAAGAAGCATACGTACGTATATAATAATAATGATCATAATATATCATCTAAAAGAGTAACGGGTTTTACTATTTGCAATTGGATTCTTGATCCTGTAAATCTGAAGCCTATTCTGCCTCGCCAGAGCTGCCATGGCCCTACTCAGATCCTTGTTAGCCATTCTCACATTCAAATCCACTATTTCACTACACTCCATTCCCATTCCCATTCCCGTTGACTCATCTACTGGTACGTTCAGATCAGGAATTCCAATTGGGCCCATTGCATTGTTATTAGTATTGGCCATGCCCAATGCACTCATACTTGAGGTTGAGGCTCGCACTCCCAACGACGTCGTTGCTGTCTCACATGCTTCCACAATCCGAAACTCCTCGCCGCCACTGATTTGGGTTGGCCCAGTGGTCTGATTCATGATCAACGGTAGATGCTGTGCCGTGCCGCAGAATTGCACCTGCGGTTTCTCATGTAGGAGACCATTTTGATTTTGATTTTGATTTTGATTTTGATTTGGACCAAGTCTTAGCTGTAAAAACAAAAATGGCAATTCCATAAATCAAAATAAAGCATTGGAGTTAGGACCCACCATCACAAAAGAGATAAAGCAACATAAATATAACCCATAAAATGAAATCCCCAAACACAAACACAAACACACACAAAGGAAAATAGATAAGCACAAAAATTACTATGCTACTGATAATACCTCTTTTTCTCTTGCTTTCAACTTCAAATTGTAGTCCTTCAGCTTCTCCAAGTAACGCTTAACATTCTTTATCTCCTGTTTCGATATTCACAGAATTTTTATTTTTATTTTTAAATAAAAAAGTGATACATGTATTTAATGGGGTCGAAAAGTTCAGGAAAAAAACCCAAACACTCGCTAACCGCTATCTCTGGCCATTAATAAAAGATAAAAGAACAAAAAAAAAAAAAAAAAAAAAAAACTTACTCCATGGAGCAAATTGTTGTCTTTGGTCAGCTCTTCTGTAATCTTAAGATAATGTTCTCTCTTCTGAAGTTTTGAAGAAGAAGAAAAAAATCAGATAATTTTTATGATAATTTGTGGGGGAAAAAAAGAATTTAAAAAGAAAAAGAAACTTAAGAGAGAGAGAGAGAGAGAGAAAAGAGGGGAACGAGAAGGGATAAGAGAAAAGGAAACATACCCTTTTGAGTGAGACGTTTCTTCTGAAGAGTGTGTGCTTATCTTCAGACTCACTTGGGGAGAATGATAAAGGGGTTGCAGGACTAGAAGCCTCTGCTTTGAGCGGCGGAGGAGACGACGGTGATGGAGCAACGCGAATGGCAGATCTCCTCCTCTTGCGGCCCCACGTGAATGGGAACCCACGGCTGCTCTCCGATTTCAAGATTAGAGTTGGAAGTTCAGCAAGTATTTCAAGAACTTCAATCTCTCTAGGTGTTAACATGGAAGAATAAGTGTTCTGTTTCATCATCTCTCTCTTTTCTCTTCTAATCCTAATCTTCTTATCTTGCTCTAAATTGAAATTTCCATTGGAGATGGAGAATATAAACAGCAAGATTTTGCAGTGTAGAGTGAAGTTGCGTGTGTGTGTGAGAGAGAGAGAGTGATAAATAGCGATAAAAGAGGGAGAGAGAGAGAGAGAGTTTTTTTTGGTGTTGTTGTTGCTTGGTTGCTTGAAGGGAGAGACTCTCTCTCTCTCTGCTTAATAAGAGGGAATTTGGAAATCCATGGCGAGGCTCTGCCTATTGACACGTGTCTTGTCTTGGAGGAATTGGGATGACTAGGGTTTATGGTTATAGCTGCTTCAAGTCATTTTGTTGCTTATATGTGTATTTCTTATTTATTTATTTATTTTTATTTTTATTATTTAAATTTTGATTGGATTGGTCGTGTGACTGATTATGAGTGTAGATTATAGGAAACAGTAGTTATTACATTATCTTATGAGAAATTTCTCTGTATGCCAAAACTGAATTTAGATTGATTTTGAAAAAAAAAAAAGTTTTATATCCTTCCCCAAAAAAAGTGGAGTTAAATTTACGACTTACAAACTCTTACAATCATATCTTAATAGTTGATTTCTGTCAATCAACGGTTATTATTTATTGTGAATTAATAATTAATTAATAAATTTGATTTGCGAAAATCTTGACCGTTGATTGACGAAAATCAACAGTTAAGATATGAATGTAAGAAGTTGTAAACGAAAATAGGTTGTAAGTATAACATTCTTCTTAAAAAATGAATGAATATAGGTAATTTCTTTTTATGTGTAATATTTTAGAATAAATTTACTCTTTTTTTCTGTTTTTATATAAAATATTTAACATTTGGGAAGTTAAAATAATATTAAAAGGAGAAGATTTCCCTGTCGAAAAAAAGAAGAAAGTTGTCTCAAACACACCAATCATACTTCTCATTCTACACTTATATTATTAGTATTTTACTGTATCTGACTATCTGTCACTTAGTTATTAACATTATATGAAAAATTTGAATTCACAGAAAAAAGGAAACACTAAATATTAAAAGAGAAAAACTATTCTCATATCACATGATATAAATTTTTTCTCCTACGTACTTTTTTGATAACCGTGCTATTTTTTTTTTTTTTCAGGTGGTGAAGTCCACTAGTTTATTTTTATGACATGAGATAACTATTCTTTTAAGATGAGACTAATTAAACCCATATTAAAATAACATATTGGTCATTTGATATTAAAAAGCACGATGATATTAAAAAATCAGGAAGTAAAATGAATCAAGAATTTATTTATACCGGATAGATTATCCATCAGTCTGATATATATTTAAAATTAATATTTATCATACAAAAATATTTAGTATAAGTTTAAATTAATTATTTTAGGCATAGATTATAGTTACGTGATTCGTATTTGTATTTTTTTTTTCAGATGTAATAGGAGCATTGAAATTTAAGCCTATAATCTCATACAAATTATCCAAATCCCTTTTCATAATATTATTATAATTATTTTTATTTCACATGGTATTCAATATGATTTTGTTTGAGATAATAATTATATACATTTTCAAACTTTATATATACAGTTAAAAAAAACTTTAAGTAATTATAATTTATTTTGACATATTAAATAATTTTTTAAAATTTGAAAAATTTATGTATTTCTTAATCTTTACTTTTTATTTTATAAGGTATGGTTTGAGCTCAATTTCAGTAAGATTTTAATTTTTTTGTTTTTGTTTCTTGACCAAATAATTGTGTTTCACACAAAAAGTACCTATATTAATTCCTTTTTTAAACTAATACAATCAATCTCGCACGATGATTGTACGAGATTAAGTCTAGGACATTAATGATGCGAAACTTAATGTCAGCGTGTAAGTCTTGCACGTTTGTCATAAAGTCTCGTATGTTTGCCATGTGGGAATGTCACACTAACATTGAGTCTTGTATGGTCAACATGCGGGACTACGAGACCTAATAGAGTCTGCAAGGTCAATGTACGGGACTGCCACACTGGCATTAAATACCGCATTATTGATATGTGGGGCTTATCTCGAAAGATCAATATATGGAATTGACCACATTGGTTTGGATTATTTTTTAAAAATAAAATTAATTTTTTTTTTAGATAAACTACAAGTATTCCCACACGATGCAATCTCGAGTTTGAAACATCCACATTATGACGTGGCTGTTTCTCCCATCAACTATAGTTTCTTCAAAAAGCCATTATTTTTCTTCAAATTGTTAATAAAAACATTTTTACACAATGTTAATAGTTAATAGTTCATCAATTAATTTTTGCTATAAACAATTTATAATGAATTTGGTATTTAATAATTTATAGTGTTGTTAAATGCATCCTAAGCTAATTTTATATATGCATAATATGAAATTTATGTTCTAATTGAAATATAATTTCGACATCAAATCAAAAAGTTAACATGGTTTGTCAATCTATTTAACATATCCAGATTTATTACAATATAACATGAATAGTTATTTTTAAACTTTGATGGTTAGGAAAACCCAAATCTCCATGATTATTAAATAGTTTTAAGTTTCTTATAATGTTTTTTTTTCACATTCTTATAATAATTAAATATGTCTACATTTCAGCTGTTTCATTTAAATATTTGTTAGTTCATTTTTATAAAATAATTCAGTCTCTTTTAAAAAATCTAAAAACTAGTTAGGATTTCGTCTCATTTTGTAGCAAACAACATCTCTATTAAACGTGCTTTACATATTTAGATTTTTATATTATGGAAATTTGAATATAAGGAAAGAAACTCTTAATATATACTAAACAATTATATGGTCACAGGAATTTCTTTAGAAATGATATACTTATAACCTATTTTTATTTATAAATTTTTACAACTATTTTTTAATCGTTAATTTTCATCAATCTGATGATTATAATTTATTACGAATTAATAATTAATTAATAAATATGACAATAAATTATAATCGCTAGATTGAAGGAAGTCAACTGTTAAGATGTGGTTATAAGAGATTATAAATAAAAATAAGTTGTAAGTATAACTTTCCTCTTTTTTTTTATTTTATTACTATTTTTTATTTTTTACTTTTTATTTCATTAATTTATATTTTTTGACTTTAGAATAAAAAATATATTAAAGTTTTAATTTGTTTTTCAGAGCTACTACTTTTTTTTATTTTTTTTTATTTATTATATTTTTTATGATAATAATTTCTATAAAAAATAATTGACTACGTTTCTGAAAAGAAAAACTAAGAAAAAGTTCCACAAAACGATACGATACTTAGGTAGACCCAAATCGTTTGGGCTAGTATACTGTGAAATAAGAGGCTAATGAGGGAGCATATTAGAATAATTAATTTCAATTATTTCATTTTTAGTCAATATTAATTTAAAATAAAATAATTTTGATCATTTCTATATAGTCATATGATTAGATGCTTATTTGAAACAAATACCTTTCAAATACAATATACATAATTAAAATAATTATTACTTTAAATAACAATATATTATGTTATTTTAAGTGAAACAATATTTTTTAATTTAAAAATCATTTTCCTATCTTTTTTTCTCAAACTATAATCAATCTATTCAAACCCGATTTTCTTTATCACTGTCAACTTTCACGACGGCCGGCTTTCATTTTATATACTAGGTACCTTAATCTAACTTATATAATGTCTTTTTTTAATGGATTTTTATTCCTAAAAAAGTTGCTTTCTTTTAAAAAAAAAAAATCTTTTTTAGAATTTTCAGATGTTTGGATAATAATTTAAAAAAAAAAACAAAAATTAAAATTCTGCTTTTTTTTTTTTTTAGCCCATAATTGGTTTCTTTTGAAAAAAGCAGAAACTAAAAGATAATATAAAATTTTAAAATACAATTTTAACATCATCT